CCCTGGCCCAGTGCTTCTCCGTCCACGGGTACCTGAGTCCCCGTAGTCCGTATCTAGTCTGTTGCCACCACACCCACTCACTCCTCTCGGTCAGGTCGGGGGTTTGGCACAGTAAGAGAGAAGTAAAAAAAAAAAGAGGGGATCTACTCCGTACTCGACAACGCGACGCGGCACTAGTCTGAACTACTTACTACTGCACACGCAACTGTGCGGAGAGAAAGTGGAGGGATGAAAAGGAAATAAAAATATGAAAATAAAAAATAAAAAAATGCACAGAATCTCAAGAAAGTCTCGATTTACACATGCATGACATCGCTTTTTTGAGTTACGACCCCATAGGTCAATCATCCTGTCATGGGAGGACATCATGGCAGGCAGGGCAACACAAAATTCTGGAGGAGGGGAGAGAGGGGGGGGGGAGCATGACTTACTCCGTAGTTCGTTTACCTGCAGGGCGCCCAGTTCCAATCTAACTTTAGCCACAAACCACACACACACACTTGATGGGAAAAGTGAGAGAAAGAGAGAGAGAGTTTGGTACCACCGGTTCACTAATCACTACTGCCGGGATAAGATTGGTGAGACGAAGTTGCCGGGGGCGGAGTATGACTGAATCTTAAAAAGGACCAAGTTTCAGATTTGCGCGATTCGAGTCATCCATCCCATCCATGGATTGGACGGGAGTTGCATGTGTGGTACCTGCAGCATTGGTGGCTTTTCATTTTTAGTACGTACATTAGGCCCGCCTGACACGATGGATTGATTGATTGTTTGTTTGCTTCGCGTAGAATGGAGAATTTGAAATCGAAATCTCATGTGTCGAGATGATGTGATTTGATTGGCTTTTTCTGATGAGGGGTCTGAATCAGTTGGTTAGTCATTTTATCATAGCTAAGCGACATGCTTGATTTGATCCCTTCCTATTTACTAGTAACTGTACAGCTGTAGTCGTAGTAATTTTCCCACAGTTGTTTGATAAATCTAGCCTGCAGATTTGCAATTCTCGCGTAGTACAGGATCTAAAGCATGTCTAGGAATTTGGAGTCGGGTAATTATGTGGAATTGATGAGCGATAATGCAAGCCTATGACGATGCAGCATTGCGATGCGAGACATTTGAGATACGATCAAGGTCGGTGGGTAACTACTGGCCCTGCCCTCGTGAGCGGGGGTTCCATACGTAGTAAAGATTCTACTCCCTCCTTATCAGGGATCGGCTATCTGCCAAGTTGGATGCATACCAAGCACCCATGGTGGAGTTTGCCACTGCATTGTATCTAATTGTCTGTTATTCTTGGCCTGAATATCTTCAACAATAGAATAGCAGTCAATAACCGTGAATTACCCTTGTGGCTTAAATTCTTGGTAATCAGGGTCAATGTATGCATGTACATCGACCGGGGTTCTTCATTCTAAAGCCTCACTGTGCATACTGCCGGGCTTGGCAGGAATACAGTAAGAAAAATGAGATGTTGTAATAAAATGATGATAAATCATCTACAAACAATAACCGAAGAAAAAGAAAAAGACGGAATACCAAAGTAAGTAATCTACCTAATGCAAATATCAATCCTGCATGACTCGTGAAGCGAACCGTGAAATTGAAACATAACATAGTTCCCGCCCCAGGATTGACTACTACTCTATCTAGATAGATATCAATCCCAAAAAATCCCTCATTTTATGTTAATTGTTAATGATCTCCCGATATTAACATGGATCCTGCGACAGGAGCAAACGATGGAAATGATCGACATGATCCAACTCAACCTCGCACAGATCCTACAGTAGTAATCAGCAGTGATCACATCTCGTCAGCGTCAGCGTCAGCGTCATCGTTGTCTTTGTCATTGTCATTAGTAGCTTCATTTTCTCCACATTAATTACTACATAGTAGATGTAGATGAACTCATATATCTACATATTCGGCAATATAAGCGAGTAAGAAATTATGATTCAGATCCCGACCTCCTTCCTACCTTCAAATCCCTACGTACCAAGACAGTTTCAGAGAGAGTAAAAAGAAAAAGAAAATGAAGGGAAAAAAGCAATATCCGCCCTCCCCCATCCAGAAAGAACCCATAGTAGATAATCAGCCCAACCCCAACTCTAATCTACTAAACTTCGATAGTCCGCACCTGTCAAAAGCAAACATCATCCACTGCCATGCAAATCCAGCAATCTGCTTATTGGATGTCACGGATTACTACTGGTCCTAGCTAACTAACGAATTAACTATTTTTCATAAATAACTGAATGCATTAAGCTTGCTTATGCACATACGCACACACTAATCAACCGTGTACCACCTTCACAATAATATGGGGTCACACATATTTTTGTTGCTGTGGTACATCCACAAGTGACACACATATGCAATGCATGCAGTCTGCAATATGTGCATTATGCACCCCAAATTTCAGTGTGTGGTTGTGCTGTCAGTGGAGGTTGTCTGGCATAGCATCCCCCCCCCTGGTTGGTTTGTGTTTGTGTTTATCATTTGTGTTGGGTTGGTTTTGTTCGGGATTGATACTGATAGGTACTGAAGGTTGGGGCTATGAGCACAGGATCTACAGTTAGTGTGGTATATAATTGTCTTCTAAATTGGTTAGTGGAAAGCCAAAGAAAAGCGGTCTACAAGGAATGGAGCCATAGTTATTCAATGAAGCAAAAGTATGTTGGATTTTATGAGAGCTTATTTTCTGGCAGTAAGCAAGTAAGAAAAGGAACGACTATTGATACCAAGCTCCCAGGGGATCTCAAGCCGTAGGTAGGATGCAAGCACGGTCACTCTGTTCTCAAGAACTGTCGTCACCCGAGAGGTAGCCCATGTCCCGCAGCCGGTCTTCATCCCACATGAAGAGCATGTATTGCGGGTGGCCAGAACCGGTGAAGAAAAGTGCCATCTCTAGATCTGGATTAGCAGGCTGTTCCTCCGCAATCTCGTACCAGAGACGGTGTGGGCCATTATCCTCCTCGATGAATACAAACGGATCACACATCCTTTTGAGCATTGGGTCAGTATTTGGAGAAAATTTCTGCTTATTGGACTTGGGATCGCTGTTTTCTAGCTTTCCCCAAATGGCATCAAATATTCTATCGCCAGCAGCCCTCCAGCACTTGAAGCGAAACTTTTCTTCAGCATCCAGCCCTCCCTGATGCCATTTTTGGTCCAATGTGCGCTTGAACGCCAATCCTCCTTCCATCTACAGATAGTTAGGGCTCACAATACATTTAAATGTTGGGCTCCAGAGCTCACCAGATAGTTGCAACCTTCTTTCTCAGAGAAAGAGCGGAGAGAGCTTTCCAGCTCCACATTATCGGCAATGCACCTCGCTGCATCTATTAAATCAATTAGTATTCCCGCTTCCGTACCAGAAAGACCTTAGTCTGATCACGTACCATCATTGTGAAGAATCTTATTCACAGTTATCACCTGATACAGCATCCAGCCAGTGAAATTATCTAGAAAGCTCTTCCAAGGAGCATTGGCTTCCATGCGAGTCATAGTGTGGCGGGGTATGGTGGTCATCGCCTGCAATAGAATATCATGTATGTAGAGGGCACGTTCGACTCGTAGCAACTCAGTCCTAGAAGCAGTCCTCGACGTGGGCCTACCATGTTTTCCTGTTTGTCGCTCAATTGTGTTTTCAGTCAAACTATGGGCATACAATCGGACGAGGGCATAGAACCACAACATGCTGCGGGCCTGCTCCTCAGATACTTCCTGCTCCAACTCAACTTTGTGAGTGTTGTAACGGAATATGAGAGCCGCGAGGCCATAATTCTTGTACCAGTCTGGTTGGACCATGTCATAGTGGACATACGCGTAGACTCGGATCTCCTTGGGGATGGTGTTGTACATGACATGTCTCATCCAATTAGCTCCATATGGTGCAATTTTCTGTAGCATTTGAGGACATTCCTTTTCGACGAAAGCATGCACTTCCACGGCAGGAATATCAAGCAGAGTGATCTTGTTCCGAACGTTTTCGGGAAAGTCGGAGAGACTTGGTCCAGTAACTCCCGGATTCACCGCAGAATGACTTGACGCCATTTTGTAAGTGAAGGCGCTACTACGTTTTTTTTGTAGAAGTTTTTAGTTTTTCGAGGTTTGCTTTTTGCTAATTCCTAGGCGATAGAAGATTGAAGAGGCGTGTTGCTGGGAAGAGAAGGAGATTTCTATGGTTACTTGCCTCTTCTTATAGTTGTTCGAGAAGGACTCACGGGGGTGACAGAATGCCTCAATCGAGGACATGCTAAGGAGATATCCATTATGAAAGTTTCATGACGGTAGTTTCCATGAATTGGTCTTCTTGCTGCGTGAGAGAAGTGGATTGTCCCTAAGTAATCTGGAGCAGCGTTGAATGATTGCATCGGAAATAGCCAGACGTTGATGTAGGAATAAGACTTCCCGTGAGCGCTTTCCAGGCAAGACAAAAAGATAGAAGGGGCTAGCAGGTGCTACCACTATTGCTTCGACACTAGGAGAGGAATGTATGTCTTTTGGAGACAATGAACAAGCGACATCAGGCAACATTACTCAGTCAGGTGACTATTATAAGGGAAGGGAAAAGCACGAGTTTAACAACAGCATACAACCTATGTATCAATCAATACTACTGAAACATATACTACTTCTCCCCGAAAAGTGGACCCTAGGCACCCGAATGGCCATTGAATCTCCCCGAACAAAGCCCTTTCATCCACCGGGCTGTACGAACCCCTGCGCATTCCTGCATGAACCCTAATTTGTCTCCGATAAGCTTAAATGCAAATCCAACAATGATGAGATATACATGTCAAATTTAGCCCTAGAAAAACACACATACGACATCACCGGCAATGCCGGAGAAAATTCGATAGTTCTTCATTACCCGCAGCTATTCTTTCAGCCGCAATCACATGCAAAATATCCACCTTAACGGAGTTGTATTTCCTCCGTTTCTTCAGCACCGCATTCCCCCAATCTCCTCCAATACCACCATCACCACGTCAATACCTCAATCCGACAATATGCCCTCCCTAAGAACATCCTACCTAGTAACCTACAACACCATCAACGCCCTCCTTTGGGTCTACATCTTCTCCTCCATCATCCTCTCCCCCTTCCAATCCCCCCAAACAACCTACGCTACCCTCGAACCCTGGACAAGATGGACCCAAACCATCGCAATTCTTGAAATCCTACATGCTGCATTAGGCAAGTCAAGCCTAATCTCTTACAACTCCCACCACCAAACACCAAACACCAACAACTAACCGCAAAGAAAAGGCCTAACCCGCTCCCCCATCTTCACAACCTTCACCCAAATCTTCGCCCGCAGCGTCCAAGTCTGGGCCATCAACTACGCCTACCCAGAGACCACCAGCCCCTCGCTAGCATACAAGTACATGCTATTGGCATGGTCCTTCGCAGATGCAATTCGGTATTCTTATTTCGCGGTCCTGAGTGCCGGTGCGCCGGTGCCGGGTTTGTTGAGGTGGTTGAGGTATGCATGCATGCACTTACTCTTCATTTCTCTCCTTCCATTGTGCCCTATGCATATAAACAACATGATTTAACTAATGGATTTAGATACTCCCTCTTCCTGATCCTTTACCCCATCGGCATCGGAAGCGAATGGTGGCTCATGTTCCGGGCGCTGCGCGTTACGAATAGCATACCTGTTCAGGCGTTGTTCGTTTTCTTTCTGTTTCTTTATGGGCCTGGTGAGTTTTTCCCTTTCTTCTCGTTGATGTCGATTTGTAGGTGGTATGGGATGGTGGTTTATTGATGATTTATGTATAGGTTCGCCCATGATGTATTCGTACATGGTTAAGCAGAGAGGGAAGACTTTGGCTGGTGGTAAGGAGAGGAAGGAGAAGCAGAAGGCGTGAGTGTCTGGTTGGTTGGTTGGTGGATGCAGGAGGTGGTTGGTTAGTTACATACTAACATTGCAGAGGATGGATGTGGTTGGCGGTATGGTGAGCTACGCGACGCTACTGAAAACTAGTATTGACAAATAATACAATTGGAACGGACTGGACTAGATAAAATTGAATTGATTTGAAGTTAGATTCAAAACCGGGTATCGCTATGCATTTACAAACACTATGTCCATGCCCATGCTTTTGCGCACCATTCCTTTGACAAAGAAACAACACTCCTTTCTATCACAATTAACAAATCACCGGAACGTAAACGCCTTTCCGGCAGTCTCGCGTTTCTGTTTCCGCACTCCCGACGGGGCATCGAGCACCTTCGCATAGGGGTTATAGCGACGCCTAGACGGGAGTCCTGAAGTAGCCTTGGGGTTGGCATTGAAGACAGAAGCAGCGGACTCGTAGTTGAAGGGGGCTTCCTCTTCTCCCTCGTCTCCGTCCTCCTTGGAGGCAGACTCAGGTTGTGCTGCGGCCTTATTCTTCTTCTCCTTGCGGCGCTGCTTCTTGGATGGCTTATCTTCAATGTCCAACGAGGAGCTGGCATCTGTTGTGGGGCCATCGATTTCTGATGAGGCGGACTGCAATTGCTCGACTGTCTCTGCGGGAGCGGCCTTGCGCTTACGGGGGCCGCCCATTTCCTTGACGGTGAAATATTTGTTCTCATCCTCCTCTTTCTTTTCTTCCTTGAGGGCGGGAGCAGAGGTAGCGGGTTTCGGGGTCTGAGGTTGAGCGGGTGCAAGTTTCTCGCGGGCTTCAGAGACGGTTTTAGGCATAGGCGGGAGAGGGAGTGAAAGACGTAGAGCTTCGGCCGAGGCAACGGCGGAGTATTCAGGGACCGTTGGGGGTTCTTGCGATTCCAGAACGGAGCCCCAGAACTGGGATACCTCGTAACGAGAAACAGTGGGGAGATTGGCCTCTGCTGGGGATTGGGATGCGACATCGACTGCCTGTGTCGCCGGTGCGGCTGGTGTACCCCTGGTTGGCTTGACATACACGTCACGCCATTCAGGGCCTTCAGCACCCTCATCCTTCGCCTTCTTGATGACTTCCAGAAGGTCTACAGCGCGGTTCTGGACAATTGGCGTCACGGGCGACAATGTCCGGAACAGGGTGCCCAAGTCGAGCGGCATAGTGTGAGCAACCCGAAAGAGAACGTGCTTCGGGAATACACACTGCACGCCTTCATCTTCCTCTCTGGCAACCTCGTCGCGCCATTGATGTACTGCCTTAAACACGGCGAACTGTTCCCGGTTGACCACGATCGAATTGCGAGAAAGGAGGTCGTACCAACCGCCAGGTCCTTGACCAGTAGCAGCATCGTAGACAGGACGCTCGTATACTTGCAGAGCCTCTTTCTTCGACTGCTCCAAGACGTAGTCGACAAGGTTGTTATCAGGTAGGGAGTTTTCGACAAGTTCATTGCGAATGTGGTCGTAGATGTGAAGAAGGTAGTGAGTATCGGAGCGAGCGTAGTCGAACATGCCTTCCGGGATCGGCCGAATGCGCCAGTCAGCCATCTGGTAACGTTTATCGGCTTCGAAGTTAACAAACTTCTGCAGCAAGAACTTCAAACTGCGCTTCGGGTAGTTCAACGCGCACGCAGCATGGTATGTATCGAACATGCCAACGACATACAGCCCCAAGTCGCGCTGAAGCCAAATAATATCCATCGAGGAACCGTGAAGGACCTTAAGAATGTTGGGATCCGTAAACACTTCGTTGAGAACCTGCAGCTCCTCCCTCCACGGCTTAAGCGTATCGACAACCCAATCCTTATCACGAGTGCTAATCTGCATCAAGGAAACAAGACCCTGGTACGAATGCACATCGTGATGCTCTAAATCAATCGCAATATCCTTGGCAGCCTTAAGCTCCTCCAACATCTCCTTCACACCTTCCTGGGTATCCACAAAAGTGGCCTTTGTCGACTCCCACGGCTGATAATCCACAGGCGGCGAAACACTGTACGACGAAGCGGGGTACTTCGCGGCACGGATCTCCGTCTCATATGGGTTGACATATCCGACCGCAGAATCGGACAATTTCAACGAGTCCTTCAACGAAACGACAGCATGGGGCTTCGTCTTAAGCAGCGGCTTGAAGGGCGCGGTATCGGTGTTATCGGCCTTGCGCTCGAACAGCAATTGCGGCTTCGGGATCTTCGACGGGCCGTAGTCATAGATGGTCGGAAATTTGGCGGGTTGCTTCTTCGCGGCCTTCGCAGCGGCAGCGGCAGCCTGATCTTGTTGCGACGGGCTCAGCTTCTTAATGACACCAGTAAATTCATCCAAGCACGCGTCGGCCTTTTCCAAAAGCGCATCGATAACATCCACAACACCGCGCCAATTGTCTTCGAGGGAATCTTCGTCGTCCAAAGTCGGCGCGGAAATATCGGTCCCGGCGGTGGCGGCTTTCAGGATGGACGAAGTGAGCGACAAGAGTCGGTTGCTCTGCTCGTCCAGGGAATCGGAGACCTCTGCGTTAGAGGTGCGATGGAAATCGAGATCTTCGGCTGAAAGTTGACCGGCGGTGCGCGTCACCTGCATCAGGGACGACTGCACCTGTTGCTGTAACGAACCGAAATCTGCTGTGGAATCCATGTTGAGAAGCAGAGACCAGACAGACAAACCCGTTGGACTCTGGCGGCAGCAGCAATGGGGAGTGGACTTGTCTTTCCTGGATAAGAAAAAAAAGCAGTCGGAGGTGGAGAAAATCGTCGCGCCGGTTGATGCTGACCGCCTGCTTGAATAGTACTAGTGATCATCACGAGTGATCTCGAAGATGGATTACATAAGGTGCAATGAAGATGATCTCAACTGGAAAGCAGGTTTCATTTACATGCACTCGAGGATTCAGCATCTATACATAGACAAAAAATAGATTCCTCTATCTCATACCCTAAATTATCTGTGGAAGAAATTGTCCGATTCATCCGACCCAAGATGTCAGCATCAATCGCCCCCGAGTGCAATGATATCAAAGAGTACGACTCCTTCACCAGCACACCTCGACACATATTTTATCTCCAACTAACAATTTGAGTAGAAAATATGACACATGCTTCTTGAAATGGTACAGCGAAAGTAAGTCTTATGTGCCTTGCCCCAAATAAGCATATAACTCACCAAAGACCCGCAGAGTACCTCCGTGGCAACACCGCCTCTAATGATTGCGACGAGCTTTTCAAAAAGTACAGGGCTTGTCTGAATGTATGGCCCAGCTGAAACCAGCTCTCAAAAGTTACCTAACTAATCTTATCTAAAAGCTCGCACTGAAAGAACGGGGTATCGACACCATGCTTGATGATGCTCGCAAGAGTGCGAAGGAGAGCGAAGCTGAATACACGCGGAAAAGCTGATGCGTTGTGTTCACAATTTTTTATCCATCTTTTCTTTCGTTTCCTTTCGTTTCCTTTCGTTTCCTTTCGTTCCTCTTCCGATGTGTTTTTCTTGCATTAGAGATGTTGGTTACGATGGACCTCTCCTCTCCGACGACATAGGGTTGGTCCAGAAACCCCGCCCAGCGAAGCATTCATCTCATCTCATCTCATCTTATTTTGTTCTGTATCTGACTCTCCTATCGGGTGTTTCATTGTCGAGAGAAGACGAGTCTACGATTGTATTATTAACACATGTCATTCTGGCGTTTTGGGTGCATCTCTCTAGACGCTTTTGCTATCATGGCAGGAGTTCTAACTGTGGTATCGAGCAATACTGTATCTAGCTAGGTTGTACTATATATGAAGCATATACTGAAGGTTAAAGCTTGATCTTGCAACCCGTCTCTATATCGTGTATCAACATTATATACTAGATTATTATCTAATGCGACATGAATCATATACTATCGATGCCCTCGCCTCCTCAATTCGCCTTGGCCAAACGCCCCTGGAACCTTCAGTATCCCATTCGCTGCAGTTCCCATGCCTCCAACCATGGACGAGGAACTGCTGCTGCTACTACTGGTCTTGCGAGGTTGTGTCAGCATCGACCATACCTCAGTCATGCTCGCCCGGCGTGCAGGAAGCATGCTGTACTGCATGCCGTACAGGTTGCGGCGGTGGATAGGAGGCACAAAGCGGCCGGTCACAAGGCAGAAGATGACTTGTGGGGAAAGATAATGTTTCCGTAGGCGATGACCCAGTTGGAAGTACTGATCGAACATGGCACGGAGAGTAAGAGGGATAGACTGTTTAGGTTAGCATTTGATGGCTCAGTGGGAATTGGCTGCTAACCTCAAGGTGAATATAAGGCACAGTGACGCTCGACTTGCTTGTCGAGGACTTGTCGTGCTCTTCACGAAGCTCGAAATGTATCCCACCTGAGAATGCAATTAGCTAATTGGACTTCGATAAGACCTGAACGTAACGCACCTGGCAGTCTCCGTGAGTCCTTGACTCTGAGCATCAGTGCAAAAAGCGGGAAATGATTCAAGAATGCCAAGCAGGTATCGAGAGCTGCCTTAAGCGAAATGATCAACATCCGCGCGCTCGCGAAGGCGAGATAGAAGACGATAACCGTGGGTAGGAGGAAGAAAAGAACGGTGAACAAGATGGTCCCAAGAAGTAGTTGGTCAAGATCATAATCGCATGAATCTATACGGTTGCGAAGCACGTTTCGCTTCTTGCCGCGGAAAAGATGGAAAAGCGAGATAATGATGGTAAGTTGCCAGTTAAAAATCCGGGCAGAAGCGATGTAGAAAGAGTAGATATGCACTGTCAATATAGATATGAGGTCGGAAAACAGGGCAATTGGCATACTTGCCCCGGCGAAACTGGAACAGCCGACAACGTAAATGATATGTGGTAGGTAAGGTTGCAAGTTGGCAATGCAAGCTATGGTTTAATTAGCCCAAAATAAAACATTAAGAGGACTGGGAATCCAAGCTTACCCGCCCAATTTTCTATGACCCACAAGAAAAGGTCACCCAAGAACGCGGCGAGTTCGTTATTGAGCTTAAGACCAGCCGGCCAGTCCATGAGCCAGGAAATAGTACCCTGTAGCCCTTCCACTGTGTAGCCTGTCAAGATGAAACTGATCTGAAAGGCGACCCAGTTGGCATTGTCGATAATGTATGACCCCAGTGCAATTCCAATAATCACATCGTTGGCGACAAGCCACAAGCTGTTGTAGAAGCGGATGTAGTCCGGATGACTCGTAGTCACACTCTCCCAATTATCTTTCCTCTGGCGGAGTTTCACATATTGTATGGGCCAGTAACAGAACTGCTGTAATCGAATATCCACCTGCTGAGCTGTCGCAGATATGTCTTTCAGAGCAGCGGCATCAGGGCGAGCGCGCCATTCGAGAATCTGCAGGACAATCTCTGCAATCGTGCGATGGAAGACAAGCCCAACAATGAATATGCGGGTAATTACAGGCCAGATCCACTGCCAGAAGACATAAGAGACGCCGAGAACGAAGAGATCCCACAACGTAGTAGCGGATTCTACAACCCGCTCACCCACACTCATGCTTCTCTTGACACGGATGCCTACCAAATGGCTATTCTTCTCCATAAGCTTTCCCATCTCATAAGCGCAATTGACCTGGTTGATGATGAGGGGGAGTGCCTGTTCTTTAGACGACGGAACATGCTTGACTACCGTGTGGAGCTTCAACTTCTCCACCAGCATTCCAGCTTGAGCCTTGTCCGACTCCTCTTCAGTATCAATCTTGTCGGATACAGCATCTGACTTATCTGAGCCAAACACCTTGTCGCCCAATGCCAGAGAGATCGGTTCCAGAGACATGTATTCCATCCTGGTCGGATGAGGCCGATGAAACATGATAACCTGGACAGACAGGTTTGTTTCCGGCGGACAGAAGATCCGAGGGACCTTGCCTGACGAACTCGTAGTAACATAAAGATGGGACGGATTGAAAGCCGTTGGCGGATCTGGCGAATTAGTCGATCCTAGGACATGCATAGCCGAACGTCCACATAGAGCGAATATGCGCACGATAGGATGGGGGCTATTGCGGAAAAGTATCCCCGCCCGCAAAGCGTTGTCGACATTCCGGGGCTATCGGCCAAATGTTAGCTGCCTCTCGCTCCCAGCATGAACACAGTATAACCCAGTTTTACCTCCACATCTTCCAAGACCGTCAAAACGAAAAAGTCCACCTCTGAATTCCGCCATCCAACAATCACTCCTGGCGACGATGACCGGGGAAGATCGTATGGCCAAAATACCCGTAGCAACCCATCGCTCATGAGCATGTTGACATCCTCCAACCGCGATTAAAAGGAGCCTCGACGGCGTAGTTGTTCGCGCGCGGAGACGCCCAGGTGCACGTATCGAGGGTGCTAATCAAGAATATCAGCCTTGTTCGGGATCTCATAGCTGTATGGCCGTTCCGCAACAGCACGGCAAGCCAGCCACTGCGATAGTAGCATACCAATTCACCCTCAGTCGCAGCTATATGATTGATAGGAAGTACTAGAAGGAAGAAGAATACTGATAAGAGGAGGAAACCCTTGGCGGTCCGTGTCTATAGTCGAGGGAGAAGTTAGCCCGTCCGTTGTTCGGTTACCGCGATTGCGCGAAGGAACAGGTAGCAGAACGAAGCATACCACAACGCCGTGATCCCAGGCGAATATAGCCAATTCGTATAGGCGAGTAACAAGATCCCACCTCGCGGTGATGTAGCCCGCTACGAAGATACCGAGAGTGAGGATGGAAAAGGGGTGCATGAATCAAGCTGTCCGGCGGGTGGTCGCTTCAGTTTGCGCGCATTGCTGACGGGAGTGAAGAGGGCTGGAAGCGGAAGCGAAATTGCCGAAAAAGAGTGACGATCGCACAAGACAGGCTGACAAGTCATACAAGAGGAGATCAAAGACAATGAGAGCTTCTCAATCAACCGGCAAGCTGGAAGTCTCAAGGCACGGAGTGGGCGACGGGGAAGATGCGGACCGCAACCCTGAGGCGTCTAGATCTCCGCGGTCCCACGTGACTGGGTATACATGTATGCTACTACACAGTACGATGTAGATGAAGATTTGAGGCATGCTTTTGTATTGTGCGCCTTAAACTAGATTTAACAAAGAAATTCTTCTAGACATTTACCCATTGACCCATGCCAACATACAAATAATCCCATTCCGAACTCCCAGACGCTATAAACTTGAATGGCAGCAAACTCGTACCCATGACTTACAGAGCTTTAATGCCCTGGAACACTTTGTTCGCTTGTAACTTCGGATCACTGTTGACAAGGTCGCGCATGATCTGGCGCTTTTCTTCAACCGTCAGGTCCTTGCCGGGTGCCTCGATTGCTTCCTTCCACTTCAGCAACATGTCCTTGAGGAGAGCACTTCCCTCCTCAACTTCTTCCTGCGAGTACTTGTCAAGTGACATATTGGACTCTTGTCCCTGTGCTCCGGAGGAAGTGAAGTCCTCAAGCTCGTCTGCCTTCTGTCGCGCCATGTTGACCACCTTCTCCGGGAAGCGAACCAATTCAGCGACGTGAATACCGAATGACTGGTCACAGATGCCCGGTTCGACGCGGTACAGTAGCGTGACCTGGTCCCGCTTCGAATCTTTGCTCTCCTCATCGCCTGTGCCATCACCAATGAAAGCCACTACATGTAGGTTCTTGGCCGACTTGGGGTAGCGATCGGCCAGGGCCGTCAATTCGTGGAAGTGAGTTGCAAACAGGCCGAAACAGCGAATCTCGGTGACGATGTGCTCTGAGATAGCCCATGCAAGGCCGAAACCATCGTATGTGCTCGTTCCGCGACCAAGTTCATCGATGATGATCAAGGACTCCGAGGTCGCGGACTTGAGGATGTTTGAGGTTTCAAGCATCTCGGCCATGAAAGTCGACACACCCTTGAGCTGCGAGTCACTCGCACCAACACGAGCAAGGATACAGTCGAATATAGTCAGCTCCGCCTCGGAGCAGGGGACGAAACAGCCCGTCTGAGCCATCAGCGCAACGACGCCAATCTGTCGGATATAGGTCGATTTACCACCCATGTTGGGACCGGTAATGATCAGGAAGGAAGACTCATCACGAATGAGCGACACGTCGTTGGTGATGAATGAAATATCATCCTGCATTTCCATGCAGGGATGCCGCGCCTCCTTCAGAATCGTGTTTCCAGTACCGCGCGGGTGAATTTTGGGGCGGACATAGGGCGTAGGGGCGTGTACTGCACAATGCGCGAAGCTCACAATAACATCGAGATGAGCTAGAACGCCTGCAAGCTGCTCCAGGACAGGGCAGTAGGAAGCAGCTACACCAACAACCTCGCTAACCAGACCAGTCTGGGTGCGGTTGTAGTTGGAAGACAGCTGATCATGCTCGCGACGGAGCGCTTGCATTGTCGAAGTCGTAAAGTAGACACCGTTCTTCTGGGTTGAGCACTCCTGGTACTCTCTCTTGTTGCGGATACAGCCTGCCTCGTTGCGAGTCAGTCGGAAGCACCAGCCATGCACACGATGGTTCTCCAGGAACAGCTTCTTGTCGACTTCTTGGTCCAGATCCCGGCCCACGCGACGGTGTTCCGAGTCCATATCGTGACGCAGCTTATCCAACTTCTTGCGAATGATGCGCAAGCTCTCGTCGAACTCAGGCTTGATAATGAACTCGTGGTTCTCCAACGCATCCAAGTCCACCGTCGTCTCAACCATCTCCTCCAGCTTTGCCAAGTTATCCGAATGGCTGCGCAGCTTAGACGTATACTCCGCTTCCAGAGGCGTCTGATACTGCTCATCCATCACATTCTCCAGCGACGCAACAAAACCCGGCAGGCGAATGGCGACTTGATACACACGCACGACATCCTCCAATGTCGCCTGTTTCCTCTGGAATCGCTTCGCCAAGCGATACAAATCCGGGATCGAGCGCAGATGCTCCTCCTGCATCGTCTGCCGAAGCTCCGTGTCCATCACAAACGACTCCACCAGCTGCTGTCTCTTCTCAATCTCAGCCTTATCCATCAACGGCTGCTTCAACCACTGCGCCAGCAACCTGCTTCCTACCGGCGTCTTACAATGATTCAGCAACCCGAACAGACTCATCGACTTAGATCCGTCCCGCGGACCCGGCATGAGATTCAAAGCCCGCAGCGCCGACGAATCCAGCTTCATGAACTGCGACAAATCATGCTGATACAGACGATACTGACCGAAGTTGGACGGATCCGTCATAACGCCGAGATACTTTATCAGCGCCGCCGCGGAACCCATCGCCAACTTCAGCTCAGTCTGCGGCAGCGTCCCCGCAGACCTCTCATCCCTCAACAACCTCGTCAAATCCTGCTCGATATCTCTGACCCCAAAGTCACCACTCTGCCTCTCCGACACTGCAATCCCACAACTGTCCATAATATTCCTCACCTTCCCCAGCTCCACATCCTTCCTCCCGGCATCCATCTGCACAAGACACTCCTTCACTCCCAACTGAATCACCAACGACTCCAGATTCGAATAGACATCATTATCCAAGAACTCACTCACACCAAGCTCCCTAACACTCGCATCCGCAAAACAAACCCCCACACTCCTCGCCTCCCCGGCCTTCGCAGATATCTTCACAGCCAGAATGATCGGCGCCCCGGCCTCAATATTCAATCCACCCACACTCCCCAATTCCTCTTCCACATCCTGCAAGTTTCCGGGACTAGCCTGCTTAATGAGTTTCCACTGTCCGCCGCGCCCGCTCGCAGAGCCCCAGATCTCCACTCGCCGATTGAGTCGAAATAGCGCCTCGCGCAGAAAATTGCGGAATACAGTCACACTCATCGTCACGGAGGGCAGGCCGCCTGTGTCGCTCCGGCCGAGGTTGCGGATCACAGAGGTGGTTTTGTAAACGGTGCGAGCGATGAACTCGGCTTCGGCGCCGTGGGCGGAGTACCAGTCTCCGCGGTCGAAAACTCGAATTGTCTCATTGTTGTTGTCGTTGTCGGAGGAGGAAGAAATGGAGCGGTAGAAGCGGATGAAGCCGACTTCGTCGTCCACCTAGATAGTACGATTGGTCCAATGTCAGCCAGTTTCTCTTTTCAAAATTTCTTAGAGCAGATGGAGCTTACCTTAAGATCTGGTCGAGAAGACATGATGCTATAGTCTATCTCCAACGAGGAAAGAGACTTGTGCGCCTGCTTGTCGGTCGTTGGAGGTATGGGCTCAAAGCTAAGCTGCGGATAGTTGATAGTTGATAGGTATGGCCGCCGACGCGCTGCGGAAAACGCGGTCACGTGTATACGCGTCCGCGCGCCGGGTTAATTAAGGGATCTGCTGCCTGAGGTATGGACATGAAGATGAGGAAAGAATACACTTGGATATACGGATAGGAAAAGCACAGTTATAGTTGTAATACTTGTTTTTATACTATCATTACATACATATGCTAATGCTACATACCGCTGACAATGCAATCATAATGCCGGAGGCATACCAGGCCACCCAGATGAGGTATCAAACAGAACATCCATCCAAACGAAAGACACAGCTTTATCCAACGTAACCATATCAAGCAGCAGAAGCAACAGTTTTCTGCGCCTCGGACCCTTCCCAGCCAAGCTTCAACTGGGCCACCTTGGCCCCAATCTCCTTGGGCTGGACATCCGCACATGACTTAAGAACCACAGACTTCATCTGATTCACCGTGACGAGATTCACCCACCCCCCGGCAATATCCTCCCGGGCCAGAATCTCCAAACAAATCTCCACTTCCTGCTGGGATATCGGACTCCGCACAGAATCCCGGACGTGCTGCGCAATCATCTCGATCCGGAACGGCGTCCGCTGCGCAGCCATCACGGCCTTCGCTCCGGTCCCAACATACCCAGCAGGTCTCAGAAGCGCCAGAACCCCCGAAACCTCCTCCACGCGCTCCGCAGCTGCCCTCCTTAGCAGCTCCTGCTTCGACGGCGGCGGCGGCAACGTCGCCTGTCGCAGCTGCTTATCCTTGATGCGCTCCAGTAACCCCTTCCGCCGCGTACTTGCCGCATCGATCGGTTTCTCTGGCACATCATCCTTCCCATCTGCACGTAACTTCTCCGTCTTCAGTCGAATCACCCCGCCCCTCAAGTCCTGCAACCGTTGCTGTCCCTTCCGGAACGTGGTGAACGGTGTCAACGACTCTTGGATCGTCGCAACGCCCAGCGTGTTGACGAAATCCACCCTCGATTCGTCTCCGTCCACCGCATCCAATGCCTTCTCCCAAAGCAAATCCACGCTCTGCTCAAATCGCTCTTGCAATTCACTCTCGCTCGTCCGCTCCTCGCCCTCCCGTACAATTCGCTCCAAACACACCCTTCCCAGTCCATAATTCGCGATCCGATATCCGGGAAACGCTGTCGATGAGGGCTCCTGGTCCAGAACCCAAAGGAGTCGTTGCAGATCCTTAATTACCACCTTCCGCTTCTTCCAGAGTCGTTCAATGGTAGGGAGCAGTTCTCTCAGGTCGGCAGGGGCAGTAACACCATTGTGCATAGCATGAAGCGCAACAGCCTTCAGGAACGCTCCATGCAGGTTTACGAGATCCTCCACACATGCTGCACGACGATTCACAGGAGCTGGCTTTGTGGTTGTCTTCCTAGCACCTGTGCGCTTCGAGGGGGTACTCGGCGGCTGCTCAGGAACAGCAGTAGCAGCCGAGCCGCTCCTCCTCACTGACACCGATGACCGTGCATAATGTCCACTTCTAGGCGTATTCAAGGTCAATTCTCCCAATCGAAGAGACTTGGAAGGCGTGACCGCATCCGTGCTTTCCACTCCCTGGGGACCCCGGCAGTCGACGTTTTCGAGCTCGACTAGTTTGCGTTTCTTGGAAGGCGTGACCGGGACATTCGTTGTTGTCGTAGCGGGCTTCTTAATATCCGATAAGGAGGGAGGAGCTACAACGCCGGGCTTAGTTGCTCTTGCGAAGCTCTGGATGCCTGGTTGCTGCTGCTGTTGCAGGCCTCTGGCCGCCTGCCTTGTGGAATAAGTGCGCGGCATCGCGGTTTCCGATTATTAAAATGAGGAAATTAAGGGATAGGAATCCTATTGGCGTATCATAGAGTAATTATTAAACAATTAGACCCTTAAGATAAGATAGGATATAAGTAGTAGTAGTGTATGTATGGGAAGTCTGGGGAAAGGAGGAAGAAGATAATATGAGTGTTAGAGAAAATCCACTAAAACGGGGAATGATTATTCTTTTTTCTTTAAGGGATGGGACAAATGGATGGGTAACAGCGGGTAGCGTGGATTTTAGGTGGAGTTCACGCGCGACGCGATCAAGGCGCGTCTGGTGTCTTTGGCGTATCCGTGTTGGCCGGAAAGGGTAATATTAGTTTTGAGTTGGAACTTTAGCTGCGGGTCATGATCACATTGACTTTTGATGGATGCAGAAGAGGGTTATATCATACACTTATTCACTTGAAAGAGATTGTTGTTTTCTCAATATAAGCCATACTTTCTTGGTCTCATATGACTAGAATGAATGTTGATATTTCTCAGTCTCTACAGCAATAATCAGCCTCGGAATGCAGCATACCGTAACCCCCCGCACTGTAGTCTAGACTAAGTCCTGCAGATTGGGGTCGGAGGTATGCTCTAGAACATTGCTCCCTCTGTCTCTCTCTCCCCACTATTTTTGCACTTTAGTTGGGTAGTTGGCTAGACCGTAGTCATCTAACCTTACTAACTAGGTCATACTCTGGCTCCGCACAACTACGTAACTATCCCACTTAACCATAATCCAACCTATACAGACACCAGTATTCAGACATAGAGAGAAGATGGTAGATAAATGCATCATCCATTAACATAACACCATCACCTTAACCCAGATACACGTAGTTAAGTACATGAACAACATATCCAGACAAGACGCAACTCGTCATTCTTATCATCAGAATAATTATAAAAACGATGCATATTAAGAAGGCATCAACATCATAAAGCCCAGCCCAGCTAAGCCTCGTTTTCCAATCAACCACCCTTCCTACACCTCCTCACCATCAATCATATAAAATCACTTCCAAGAGGCTTCAAGATTATTTCTTCCCTCCAAACCACCCCGACACGGCCCCCTTCGCCTCCGCTGCCTTCTCCTCAACCTTACCCTCCAACTTCTCAGCCCCGGAGCGCAACTCAGCCGTCTTGTCGCGACCAATTTTCTCCAGACGGTTCATGCTATCTTTGGCGTCTTTGCTGGCGGTATCGATCTATCACCATCATCACACAATATCATTAGCATTCATCGTCTCACACCATGTGATAAAAAGAGAAGAAGGGTATGACATACCGCCTCATCAACATTCAACCGTGCCTCATACGCTGCCTTTTCACCTGCCTTCTCGGCTTGATCGCCTGTGGGTGCCTTGAGACGGGCGAGATGGGCGTCATCTATAATACCATCGAACATCCAGCATTAGCAAACACCCATCGTCAACGATGAAAAGAAAGAAGTGGCTAGCATACGTCTCATCTCCTCCTTCGCAACCTTGGGATCGCCTCCAGCGCGGTACATGTAATAGCCACCGGCGCCGAGGGCAGCAATGCCGAGGTAGAGAGCGGTAGGGTTCTTCGACATGGTGAATGTATGTATGTATGTATGAACTTTCTTCAGAAGGTATAGACAGACAATTCGAATGGAATGCTTGTTATTGTTGTTCGCAGCTTGAATGAAATCCGGTACAGGAGGGAGACAACAGACAGGTACTTATAGATTGTAGATGAGTTGAAGCTGGAAATGAAACCTTTGGTTGTTAGGCTGGGCAAAGAGAAAGTAATGAGTGCAAGTGGCTAACTAACTAGGCAGTGTCACAGGGTATGACGTCTTTTGGGGGGTTAGGGTCCGGCTTCGGTCTTCTTCTCCTCTTCGTCGGGTGGTGCAGTCGGTTCTTTTTTTGTTTTCTTGTTTGTTTTACTTATGAATTATTAGGTGTTTTTGCTTGTGCGAATCAGATGATCTGGGTACTTGATTCAATTGTAGAGGTTTGTATTGTTACTACTTCTCTCATATATTGTTTGTGTAGTAGAGGTATGTGCAGATAGCCACAGAGCTATGCTGCTCCGGCGCGGCGAGGATCGGCTGCGGGACCGACACTACGTCACTGCAAGGTCATCGGGTCCAACGGCTTCCATGACCCAACTCTTCTTGCTTCTGACACAAGTACTAACGAAGGACATAAGGTAGATGTTGCTGGAGTGGGCTGTTGTTAATCGAACACGTCATGATGGGGCTGTTATCTACTTCATGTTGACTATGTAGTAGTTACCCACCAGTTACAAAGTACAATTGGAATGGAATTGATTCTCTGACATTTATCACTTTACCCGCAGCTGGTTGCTAATTGAATCCTCACTGTCGCAGAAAAAAAGACACATATAATGAAATACACAGAGGGCCACACTTGGACACCACAAGGAGAGCGCAATGGATAGATATAGACAGAAGCCGAACACACAATCGAAGCCACACCACGACCAGAGTAGGAAACTCCTTCCATAACCTCGTAGCTGAGCTCGAGATCAAGGCCGGGGGGTATCTTCATGCACTATGGACAGCAGACCGGAGGTGATGAGAACGCCAAAACATGCAACCGGACAAGAAAACCAAAAGACAAAAAGAAAAGAAAACACCCGAACGAAGACACAGCAATTGTCAGAGAAGCCCATATATCGATCCAACCCACTGATGCATTATTCGTCAGTCATCACATCATAAAGATTCCCGCAGCCGAGCGGTGGTGTGCAGCTCCGAGTAACGAGAGGCTAAAGTATCTAGCAATCCGCAGTTATATCAAGAACAAAGAAAATGTAGAGGATCCCCCAGAAAGAAAAAGACCGGGCGCCCCGTACTATACAACTCCGGCTCGAAACAAAAGAGGAAATGGCGGGAAAACCGAGAAAGATCGACTTCGGAATTTGAAACCACTCAAACCCCCTGCTCGCAGAGGACATCCAACATGTTCACACCAAGACTTCTTCACAGGAACAGCTTCGCTGCGCTTTTGTTCTCACTCGTGGCAACGGCAACCAGTGCCTCCAGCCGACCCATTCCAGGCTCTCGGGCGGTGTGGGGTAGGAATTCGGACCGTGGATCATGTTTGCCGTGATAGCTATCAGTCTGTGGGGGAAGCGGGGGACAGGCCTGCAGTTCAATCAGTGATTTGGCCCTCAGCGATACTCCGGGTAACGGGTGCGTACTGCATGAGAAGTATCGGATGAAAACGGGGGGTGGTGCGGCTCCACATAGCCATTGTTGTGCACAATGGCGGGATGGTATTCTAGGGACGCCGTTGAGGGAGTATGTACCCCTTCACTGCTACTGGAGTCCTCAGGCGAAGTTCGCGTGGCCTGAGAGCTCGAGGTAGCATTGCTGTAGGAAGGAGCATGCCCATGTCCTCGGTAATCGTGGAACTGTGGTTGGTACGAAGACGAGGGGCGAGATCCCACATTGTGAATCTCTGCAATGGTCTGCTGGCTCCAGTTCGATGCGTCCCGCTGTGGGGGCTTGTCTCTGATGTGCAGGCCAGTGAGGTTCGTGTGCAATGACATGTCCCAAGAGACATGGCCCCGTCGGTGACCAGGGCCAGAGATTGGCGGCGCCGGTCGTTTAGCGGGCTGTGTGTAGTTGTAGCCCCCGGCAAGGTTATAATTCGGAGGAGGCTTGTTGGGGTTGTCGATCTGCATCGGACTCGACCGCCGAACGGGCGGTGTCAAGGGCCTTTGAGCCACCACCTTATCAAAGCTCTCAATTCCAGGCAGCCGCGGTGGCTGCTCTGTTGATCCATTGGCGCCAAAAGATGGCTTAAACACTTCTGGCGTCTGGTAGTTGCTGAGACCGCTTGTAGCAGGCCGAGGGACCGTAGACCAAGTCGAAGGATGCCAAGTCCTTCTCCGGAGATCAGCGTCGGTAGCACCGTGGTTTGTTTCGTCGCGGGAGAGTGAGTAGGACGAGCTGACAGGGCTCGCATAGACGCCTCCATGAGGAGCATACGCTTGCGTCGGAACGTAGTTCGGCGGGTAGGCATTGACGTGTTGCGATGCGAACGGGTTCGCACCCGTAGGAACGGAGAGACGGCGGGCGGCAGTTTTGCCCTCCCAGAAGCCCGAGGCCTGTGATGCCGTAGAGATGGGGGAAGCCACGTGCGGGCTGCCGTTGCCGCCCGCTGAGAAGATGTGGTGAGACGGCGTGTAGGGAGATCCGCCGGCTGTTGGACCGGGTATTCCGCGGGCTGGTGGCGTGCTAGGGGCGTCCATCGGCTCCATCAGACGCGCCCTATCATTCGCCATCATCAAGGGTGGAGGTCGGCGACGAAGCTCCTGGGGCTGACTGAAGGTGGACGCAGTTGAGGTAATGCTCGACGCAGATAGGTTTCGACTGTGACCTCTGCTATGGGTTCCCTGACTGCCCGCGGTTCCTGCTCTAGCTCGACCTTGGGGTCGTACACGGTCTGTCCGGATCTGGCGCTGGAATCGTGTTCCAGTGGCTGCAAGAGAGTCTCCAGGAATTTCCTCGTTGACGTGCACCGTCTGAGCATGCTGTCGCAGATTATCGAGACGGGAAAAGCGACGTGAACAGTGACACTGAAACGGACGTTCTCCGGTATGCTTGCGGATATGTCGAGCGAGATGTTCACTTCTTGTAAAACTCAGGTTACACGGTGGGAAGTCTGTGCAATAGAATCGTTGACCCTTCTTCTTTTTCGAAGGTGGAGCGCCACCCTTATTTTCCGCCTCATGTTCAGATCCTTCATCCGACTCACCGTGTACAGCATCCTCTGAGGTCAGCGATGCACTCCCCTGGGAGTCGGCATGGTGATGTGAGTCTTCGATGCTATTTATGTTTCGAGGCGTGCTCTCGTCGTGGGCAGCGATCATGGACGATGTCGTATCTTGGGGCGCCGCGCCGGGCTTGGCGTGAGGGCGAGGTGTGGAAGATGTTGTCGCCTCCTCCATGACGCGGTCTGGCGGCGATGAAATATTATTCACAGGTAAGAATGAAGACATATTGACAGCGAGGGCAACCCTCGACTCCACCGAGTAGTCTATGTACTGTTCCGAAAACCGGGCAGGCGAGCGATCGACGGAATGCGAGCTCGAGCCGTTTCAAGGGTGAAAGATGGAGGTTTCAAGATGTCAAAAACGCGGTGTCGATCGCACGATGCTGACTACTGGATAAATGTGCGCAGCAATGTAAGCAAATGAACCATCGTGTTTGAACATAATTTCCGTTGTGTGAATAGATTTTACCACCTCAAAGAAGGCGTAAACATTACCAGCAAGGGAGTAGTGAGGGGGAGTCTTTGTGGTTTCTGGTATCGGGCGAACGAGGAGGGGGAGGAAAAAAAAAGAATTTTGGAAAACTTACGAAGGAGGGGAGGTAACTCAAGGTGTTTTGAAATCCGAGCGAGGGGTTGAAAAGTGAGGAATGTTGGAGACAAATGGCGATGACCTGTTTAGCCGAATGCCCGACGAAGATGGCGAAGCAAGGGTAGCCAGGTTGTACACGATAGATGGAAGGGCACGACCATTAGGTGTGAGGACGCATCGCTCACAGATCGACCTGGCCGAGAGGAGGTAGGGACAGCTGGTTGATCGACCGACAGATAAGACTGGTGGACTGAACGGGCAGAAGGATACGATGACGGAGAAGGGAGGGAGGTGAGGTTTAAGGCAGGTGTATCGGTGATCACTAATAGGAAAAGAGGCGGCGGCGGCGACGGAGGATGAGGACGTGGTAGTTGGAGGTGGTCAGCGGTGGTTGTTGTTTGGAGAGATTTGGCGGACTCGATCGAGTTTCCCGCCGACGTCGAGTCCTGGTTGTGGGTATGACAGTCAGGACACCGACCCAGCCAAGACCTGAACTAATGGCAATAAAAATAGGTGTATCGCGAACCGATCGGGCCCCTGGTTTACGGATCGTCCGGGGAGAAACCAGGCATGCGCAACGGAAACAATAAACGGAGAAGTCAAATGAAAATAGAACAGGATGAAAAAAAAGAAAGAAAAACAACAACAACAACAACCGAAATCAGAAACTAAAATGTGATATGGAGTGCCACAAAAAATCAAAAATTGTATGAATCATATAAATAGTATAGGGACGAAACCAACCAGGTCCAAGCTAGGCTGGGCACTAGTAAGCGATGATGTACAGGCACCAGGGCCACGAGGGGCGGTGATGGATGGGAAGGATGAGGGGAGGGGGAGGGGGATTTGTTGGAAAGGAAGGGAAAGGAAGGATGGGAAAGAATGGAAAGGGAAGAAGGATGGATGGTCAGAGGGTGAGACGGGAAAGTCAAGTAAGTAGGCGAAGAAAAAGAACAACAAGAGAGGAAGAGGAGGCTGATGGATCCCAAACTTTAGATTGGAGGGAAGGGAAGGGTGAGAGTCCATACAAGTAGTAGTAGTACTAGTAGTGTGTAGCCTGTAACCAGGGTGAAGATGACGGCAACCCACCCACCCCAAACAGGTGAATGGTGACGACGATAGTGCCGGGCGTCAGGACCCCAGCCAGAAACACTTCAGGAGGAGATGGAGAAGCAGCTGGAGGCTTATCGGAAACAACGGTCGATTCGGCAGCGGACGGGGAAACGAGTGGGCACAAAGAGGAAGAGTAGTGTAGTAGTGAATAGAGAGTAGATAGTGGTAGAAAGAGAAGAAAGAGGAGGTGAGAAGGGAGAAAGATGAGGAGAGAAAGAGAGAGAGGTTCAGAAAGAGACGAAACAGGCGTCAAGAGGAGGGGGAAAAACCGGTGGAGAGAGAAGAAGAGTACTAAGTAGTAAGTAGTAATGGTGGTAGATAGTGGTAGCGGTAGTGGTAGTGGTAAGTATAAAGTCGAATACTCATCCAGAAAGAGTAAGAATCCTTATTTTACTTAATATTTTTCTTCTCTTTTTCCCCCTTTGGGTACCAGACAAATTTACCCTACAAGAAAGAAAGGGAGAAAAAACCACCATCTATTCAGACTACAAGGCTGAGTACCTTCGGTCGGGGGTACAGGGTACTTAGATAGAGAGCGGCGACTTGGCCAGTCACCGCCGCAATGCTACGTACGATCGTTGGAGAGGAACGGATAGCGCCTGAGTTTACAGTTTGATCAACATGACGGTGACGATGCGGATTTGTCCTCTATAGAGTTCGGGCGAATAATGAACTCACCGGGGGGTTGAGAGTGAAGGTTGATAGGTAAACTCTTTTAGCCCCAGGTACTGACGACTTGGTCCGGACCGATGGACACGAATCATCGATCGCAAGACCGGTGGAGATACTCCAGTTGGATGAATTCATGAGCCAGTCTCGCCGACGGTTGGAGCCTTGGGTTTGCCTGAACGATGGGAAGTTGGACTGTAGGATTCTGTTTCATCGAGTGGTCATCGGTCGGCAACCCCGGTTTTATCCCTTCCCGACACATCGCAGAGAAAAGAGACAAGAAAAGAAAGATACGATAGTATCTACGAGGCAAAGTACCTGATACACCGATATGGCGAGATTGGAGGTATCCAGTATCCCAAGGAAGACAAAAAATGAGAGAGGATGGGCACACCGAATCAATACCGCTCGTACGCGCCGGTATGAACCCCGTATCAGGAACCCAGCGCTTAGCAATCGCCAGAGAAGGAAGCGGGCAACAAGATGGGCTGGCTTGCGAAGACCCTTCCCAAGGGTTTGATCACCTTCCCTCGAGAACCCAAAACTTATTCGGATGAATGGGCTTCTTCGAGGTTGTTTCTCGGTAAGGCTGGCTAAATTGGCCCCAAAAGAAGTTCTCGGCCCAGGTCTGTCTGGAGCGGTGCCATGGTCGTCTGGATCAAGGGTCCTTCTTGGACAGTTCATATAACGGAGGAGGCCCGTCCAAGAAAAAGAGTGGTGAGTGGTGAGGCACCAGGCACTGCAGCCAGTGGGGCACCGCAGAGGGGGGCACCGATCGGCTACTTTTTCCCGGTGCCAGGGCTGCCCGTCAACTGGACGGATTACTGTTTGATGATTCATGAATCGTTCTTGCCCGGCTGAGTCCAGGTGCTGACCAGAAATCCTCCGCGGATGGCCCACGGGCGGCGACTCTCGGTGACGTTAACCACTCAATGCTCCCTCGCCCCTTTGTCTGGTAAGTTTGACCGGTGACAAAACCCCCAGCCCAGATCTGCTCTTCTCTTCTTCGCCTTTGGTCTGTCCACCACCCAGACATCCGTTCGTGAGTTTGGAGGGGAAAAGGAAAAGGGCCTGAGCCAAATGTTGCGGTGCAGAGTGTGTGCCATGTCTCGTGGCGTGGCACAGAGCGGCGTTACCGGGCAATCCGGGGGTTCGAGAGGGGGAGAAGAGGGAAAGAATAGTGAAATAGGGAAAAGTTGACTAATTGCCTAAATACACACATTGTGACTGACTGACTGACTGCCTGCCTGCCAAACTAGATTCCGTATAGACTAAACGGATTAAAGGTACATGAAGGTCCACCTTTCTTTCAGTGTGGACGGTATATTGTGAGATCTAGGCTGCAATGCTGCCGGAGAGGGGAGGCACAGGGTGCGACGACTGCGTAAGCCGGCCAACGCCTGACTGGATTATCAAACGGCCCAGGACAGCAGGATTCAGCGTGGAATACGAACGGAATGTCGCACAATGGGTTCCGGGGCTTCCACACCTGCAGTTTGAGGTGGAATTCTCCGGGCCGAACGCTGCAGTACCTTACATCGGCCTCGTCACAAATTCATGTCCTCGCCGGTATACTACTGAGTAGATGGCTCGACATCTCAGTGTCATCTCACATTCAACGGCACACTCTATTTGAGACGCTCACTCCGTTTCATAATCCCCACCAAGGAAGATTAGCAGTATCGTCATGACAATGTCGATGTTAATGGCAGTGATATACGTCAGGCCTGAACTAACTGGCTGAAAGCTTGTTCCTGATTAACGAAGAGCGCAGCATTAACCCCCCAGCAGGCTTCATCATGGCCGCGTTCAGGACATTGATAAGGTTCCTTCTTGAACTCAAGACCCCGGTGGACAATAGTAATTCAATTTATTTAGACTCTGGGGAAAACCTGGAGCAAAGTCAAAGTAGGGCACTCAGGTGTCTGCACGCATCTCCTCGCCAGCCTCTCTAGCACCTGCAAACGGCACGGGAGTCGATGGAAGCTTCTTCATCGCGTCTATGACCTCTGGTTGATGCGGGACAAAGAGGAGTCCATCTGGGGGTGCACGCGGACAGCTAACGCCACATGTTAGAGTGATGATGTGCTCCCCGGTATGGAGATTGGAGTCAAAAGCGCGCCGATTGACAGCAGCTTTCCCTGGATTCCCCATGCGCGGGGCTACTTAGCCTAAGCATGGAAGAGATAACCCAAGTAGGCGGAGCACCGTGCTTATAGGACGTCGGAGTATAGGCCTGCGAGCCTCGCAAAAGTTACTTTACCGTGGTGAGTAAAGATGTGAACAATGCATTAGTGTCCCGCATTGGCCTTATTGATGGGATCGTGGGGGTTTTACAGTACTGTGTACACTTCTCTCCAGCCCAGATTGGCAGCCAATGTCCAGCTATTTTGGAAACCCACACGCTGAACAGGCTATTCAATTTGAGCCGTGCTATACAACGACATATGTCATATGTCAGCATGAAGCAACCCGTCAGTTGCCCGATCCTAGATTAACCTAACTTCCACTCGGAAGGTAGCGGCACCAAGCTCTAGTTGAATCAGTCCGGTCCCCCAGACCTTCAACTCCCAGCAGGATCGTAAAAACTAGCACCTCAAACCAAGTCCGATCTCGCCATCATTCCCAGGGTCGAAGGGAAGAGGGGGTGGAAACGCTCGTCTCGTAAAAAAGGGCGGGTAAGTTAGTTCCCCCCTCTAGCACTGCAGAGATCCGGTCTGGGTGATCGACGTGGCACTGCCAGTCTAGTAATCCACCAATGAACAGGTGCAAGAGCAGGTAAGGCACAGGAGCACGGGCGAACGCACAGGTAAAGGTACCACGCCTCCCCGACCAGCAGGCCCATTCATCATTGCACCACCACCATCTTTCTCCTCCATTTGCACTGGTTGCTTGCCCCTCATTTCCAAAACCTGATAAGCCCACCGGCACACGCGCGCGCCACTGAGGGGCAAAAAAGAGAGTCAATCAGGTTTAGTTTCCCCCTTTTGTGCCAAGATCATCTTTAGTGGCTACTACGATGTCCATCAAGGGGGAGCGGTAGGGAGACAAGAGGAGGAAGATGGCTGTAGTAAATGCTGAAGAGGGATAAAAGCGGGTGTGAGGGGATCCCGTAAGACAGGTTCAATCAATGATGATGATTGATGACAGGTGACACGGGTCTGTCCCATCCCTGTTGTATCTGAAACATCGATAATCGGCGATGACGGGAACTGCCAGTGCATCCCTCGCCTCTAATCTATCTATTATTATTTCCTTTCACCTTTTTTCCCCTTCCCCTCCTTGCCGTCGGGTTCTTATCAATGGGAAAGCGGGGTTATGATAAGTAACTTGTGTAGTCCAAGTGGGATGTCCCCGGAGCTAATGAGAAGAGGGGAGAATAGAGAAAGGGAAGAAGAAGGGCGCGTGCACGGATGTATGTGGTGTGTGTGCTATCTGGCCTAGCTGACTGGCTGACAGGACTAACTAGTAGTGGTTTCGTTTTTTCCTTAGTCTGCTTGTGCTACCCGCTGAGAGATGGAGTACAAAGCAGGTACCTGCGTTGCAAGAGAGGGGTGTACCTGGTAAGGTATTGTTGGGGTATCTACTACTACTACTACTACTACTACTACTACTACTACCTAGTACTTCATTGTTCGTTGAACATATACCATCTTCTCCGTATAGTAGTAGATAATCAACACCCAAACCACTTGATAAATATGCACAATAAACAAGTAAGAAAAAAGACAATAAATAAAGAAAATTAGGAATCCCATCAGCAACAAGTTATCCACCTAAACGCTTACGTATAAGACCCCATCAGATCACAGCGGGTCCTGCATCCAGAATGCTGACGTCTTACATTATGTGATTATATCTCTCTCTTTCTCCGGCGGCAAAACACTTCCTCTCTACACACACTGCAGCACACTAATGGAACAACATATATCATAGCGCAAGTAAGTATCTACTAAACGGTGCTTTCCTTCCATCCGTCCTTGATCAATCCCTTTCCGCCGAAGAATATATATCTCCAGCCATAGATATCATCTATATCATTAGGTATACACACTACTTTGTAGCACCCGACTAACTAACAGATTAAGAAACTAAATCGAAACCCAAACCCCAAACTTAACCTAATACTTAAGTTACCTGTAGACTAACTAGTTAACTTAGTATCTAGTTACTAAGTAACATGTATGACTCACATCATACATCAACCCAGCCAACCAACCAACAATCCTCCTACCACCTAGTACACAGGCTGTATACTACTTACGCATTACTCTATCGATAATCCATGATTAAGTCAGTGCGTATCGTATCTAGGCACAGACATAACATACATACATACACACTTACGTAGTGGCAAAAAAGCAAATCCATTCTAAAACTATACCATAGTAGTAATTGTAGTAAGAGTAAACCCTAAATATGAACAAAATATCCTCCGACAAAAATTATCAGCCCACAAACATCAAATATCAGATAACCAAATCAGTCAAAGCATACGTATGCTAGCTTAGTAGTAGTAGTAAGTAGACCATTCAGTAACATAAAGAAAAGAAAGAAAAACAAAAGAAGAGGGAAAGAAAAGTAAAAGTGAGGCGAAGTAAACCCCCCATGATTGGTTCAGAGATGTTACGGTTGCACAGTTGAGTAATACTACTTACTACCTACCACTTTCACGCTTACTATTTATTTTGTTTGGAGATGTGGAAGAATAAGGCAAGCCAGGGGGGATGGGGGGAGGGGATGGGGCGCAGGTGGGTTGGTGTCAGCTGATGATGATGATTATGCTGCATGTATGCATGTAGGTATGTATGTGTATGTGGTCAGTGTGTACCTGATGGACATGTACCGTGTCTAATTCACATTTCACATGGGAAATGGGTCTGTTGTACTACTTACTCTTTCTTGCTTGCTTGTTTGCTTGCTTTGACTGTGTGCCTGAGGTAACTAACTTACTCACTGTGCATACATAAGTGTTTGATGGTTTGTGGTAGGGTATATTATGGCGTTATTGTATTTAGTTGGTAGCTATTTATCATTATAATACATACTGCACAGCCTTAAATCCACCCCCATCATGCCTGTCTATCTAGTACACTGGCAATAGAACTGACCATAACAGCTGCTTCCCTTTCCCAGCTCCTCTCCAATCCCGAGTCCACCCCCAGTCGCTTCTCAGTCCCGAGAATCGACGTGGGGAGCTGCGAGCCCCGCAGAACGCAGTCCTTGACTTCCTTCTTGATACGGTCCCGATTGGAGCGCAATGTCCGGGCGGAGACACCGCCGCGGTTGATAATTTCCTGCACACGACCCGCGAGGTACGATGCGAGTGATCGCCAGAAGTAAGATGGGAGGGAAGACGTGTCAAGAGCATTCAGCAATGGTTGCAGCAAATTATTCTTGCCACTGGCTTGGACCTGTGGTTCCGGCTGTTCCCCGTTGCGGGTGCCAGCAGCTGCAGCTGCAGCAGGTGCTGCTGGGGGGAAGAGTGGATGCGAGGGTGGACGCAGGTTGTTGAGAATAGCTTCCAGGGCAAAGACATCCTGGCAGCGTGCAGACAGGTCGGAGAGAGTGCGCTCGAGAGTGGGCAACATGGTGAGCGCCCGAGTGAGGTTACTCAGGGACGAGGAAATGGCCGTTTGCATGTATCCTTGCAGGGTTGAGAGGAGCAAGTCTGGCTGGAAGCTTGCTGCGGAGGTGACATTCTTAGGGACCGGCGATAACAGATACAAGATGTTGACGGCAGAAACGAGGCGTGCTCTGGCATCGCGCGCCTGTTTGTAACTCATTTGTGACTGGGAGCCAGAGCCTGCACTTGCAATGGTCGACATGGTGAATCGACCGATGGCTTGCTGTGCTCTCGTCTTGACCATGTTCTCGGCGGGAATGACAAGCTCACTGCGCAGTGTTCGGATGACTTTGACACGGTCTAGTCCATGGCCCTCCTCGCCTACTGCCGTCTCAGAGAACATTCGACGTAGACTCACAATCGTGGAGGCGGCCCGTTCCAGCGTCCGGTAGTCATCCTTTGCAGGGGCTGTGGCATCAAGACCCCCGATCTCTGCAAGCTGGCTCTCCAGCTGTCGGCCTAGAGAAAGGCAGCGTGCAACCGCTCGTGCGAGTCGTACAGTAGCCAACGACTTCTCTGCAGCCACCCTGGCCTCATCGGCAGCTTCCCATTTGCGGAGAACTTCCCTTTCCAGCCGCTCATATCCCTGCGTTACCGAAGCGATCTGCTCTTCGGCTTCTTTGAGGATACGGCCCGCTGCGGCGGTCTGGTCGCGCGTGTGCGTCAGTAGGGGGAGGGCAGACTTAGTGGTCAGCGCATGGATGTGGGTGTCGATCTCCTGAAGATCGAATAACACCCGTGAAAGCGGGGTTGAAAGGTCCAGCGGTGTGTCTGTTGCATTGTTGGTGGCTACAACCAAGGAATTGGCAAACGAGGCGGGTGAGAATTCCGGGTCTAGGAAGGCCTCGTAGTCTATGTATGAGGGTTCACCGTCCGCCATGGCTTGTGGCGTCTGATCGGGGAGACAATCAGGGAAGTAAACAGGTAAGAAAAGATTGGGAGGAAAGAAAGAAGCAGCGAAATTGGAGAATATGGAACTGAAACTCAAAATAAGAGAGGCTTGGGTATCACCGTATCGAACAAAGCAGATGGATTACAGGCCAGCCGTGTTGTTTACCCCAGGTGGCCGCTTGACCGCAGAACAATCAAAGCTTAATGTGGCAGAGACTCCCATGTGATAGAGAGGATAGAATGGGGGATGCTGATCCAGCTAGCCATCGTTCAGCTCAAATGCTCGTGAAGACAAGCAACAGCAGTTGTTGTTCGGGATGCCATGTGTCGCCTAGTGCATTAGTCAGCTGGCATAAGACGGTGTATATTTCCCAAGCACATCCTGCCAGGTCAGTCTATATCTGACATGGTTTACAACACACTGCATTCACATTGGTCGCTTGTATGTCCGATGATGGCAGTATCATCGTCTTGTGAATAGTAATCTCCTACCACATTTCATATCTACATCTACTGACTCGCGTTCTGCCAACATGTACCTGGTAAGGTTCTGTGTCCCCAGAGTGGTCGATAAACTTTTATCAATCTTAGTTGTATTTTCTCCTTAGACCCATAGTAGACCCACATATAGCACACGAGTCAATCACTGAATGTAAATAATATTTCAGGCACATTCATGGCCATATAACAACCTCGTTATTGTTGTGTCGGATCTTTTGGAAAATATAGCATTAAACAGCAGCCCAATTCATCAATCAAGGCAAGATGGCCGAGTTGGTCCAAGGCGTCAGGTTAAGGTCCACCTTAATACCCAGCTTCACAGCTTCCTGATCATCGTAAGATGGCGTGGGTTCGAATCCCACTCTTGTCATATCTTTTTCCTTTTTCCACACTTCTCAAGCGGAGAGGTAGTTAGGTCTTTTTTTTATAATGTCCCTTGTCTATCGATCACATCTATTAGATTAAAGTGGCACGAGGAAACACGTGCTCTTGTAGGAGGCTCTATGCGATCTTCGGCAATAGGGTTGTTTTATCTTCAAGGCTGCAGACATTGCAATGAAAATGTAGAATGCATATTATGGACACTTTTGCTAGCAGACACCGGTTCCTTATTGCAGAACCCTTCCGTTAGTCTCTTCAACGATCAGCTCGTACTCAGGCTGGAACTCGGTATAGAAGTTGTGCTGTATATCGTCAGCCATCCATCCATCCACTACAGATTCTACAGAAGAGTAACTCACATGGTTCTGCGCAACATCAGCAGTATACTGCGCCACTTCATTCGAGATGATCCTCTTCGGAACGCCGTTCGCGGCCGCTGCTTCAGCCAGCAACTGCGTGTGGCAGGCATTGTCTAAGCTAAAGTAGAGGAAAGCCGCCTCGTCGACGGTTCGGCCCACGGTGAGAAGACTGTTCTCCTTCGTTAGTACATGATATTCTTGTTATTACTATATGCATCCGACTCACCCATGGTTCTGCAATATGCAAGCAATATTGTCCTTTCCTAGGGCACGGGCAATCTGCTCACCCTCCTCCTGCGCAAGGGCAATACCTCCATGGTCCTCATAGACACTGACCTTTCCGTACAGGTTGCATGCATCTATAGATACCAAATTAGACAACCCCTCTCAAGCAGCTAGTGTCAAAATGAATCTACTAACCCTGAGTAAGCATCTCAATCGGCTTTCCAAACGCACTCCACGTCTTCCCATGAATCGAATGCGTATGCGCCGCAGCAATAACATCCGGCCTGGCCTTGTGAATTTCAGAATGGATCATGAATCCGGCCTCGTTGATGGGCAGCTGAGCACCACCCCCAGTGACATAACCCTCTGCGTCAACGAGGACAAGATCCGATGCTTTGATGGTGGAGAAGTGCTTGGCGAAGGGGTTCATCCAGAAGTGGTCCTTTAGGATAGGGTCTGTAGCGCATCCCATTAATACTTGTCGAGCCGTACTTCTGCAATTGCATTGTGGTACTAGAAATGATCACTCACCTCTCATAGAAATGTGACCCGACACACCCTCCCCGTATCCTTTCTTACCAAAGAATCGAAACGCAGCAGCCATATGCTCCTTCATCCACTGCCGCTTAGCCACAGGATCGCTAAAAGTCGGGATACCCCGTAGCTTGAGCGTTCCGGCGCGATTCCCCCGCGCCACAGATTGGAACTCCTTGTCGTTGGCGGCATCTTCGATGTGGGCTTTGCTGGTGGAGCTGTTGTTGTCGGCCGCTACGACGACGGGGACGGGGTTAGTGGTGGTTTCGGTGATGGTAGCGGACATGGTGACTAGTAAGTAGTAGAGTACCCTCTCTCTGGTTTGCGGTTTAGTTTCTGGAATAGAATGTCCTGGGGAGAAGAGGGGAAGATGAGTTGGCGGGGACAAAGTATAAATAATAGATGTATGAGGGGCACGCTAGATACTAATCTACAGTCTTTATCCTTTAGGCTTATCGCAGCCCCGGAATTGCATGTCAAGTAAGATGATAGGCGCACTGCGCCGAAGGGACGGGGGCTCTGATAGCTTGATAAGAGCTGTGCCCCGGCCCGGGGTCGTGCGCCTTCCGGGGACATGGTTCCATCCATGTCTGATAGTGTGTGCACTGATCCGGATGACAGTACCCGGATGTATATCATTCTTTTCTTGAGGGTGTAAAGTATAATAATCAAGTATTTCATGTTTAGGAGAGGCTGTGAAGTCTGTATTGTTCAACTTGTGTGTTTCTTGGGGGGTTGGGATCATTGCTCATTGCCGTTGCAAGAAAATGAGCTATTCAACCACTGCACTGTATATTGCTAGATCCGTGGATGTGATTATAGTTTAACAAACTACCAGGGTGTAATGATGCAACCAGTGCATGAGTAGACCAGCAACACTGCTATGATGGAAGTGGCACAGTCTGCTGACACTTCAACGAACTGGATACTATCTCCGGTTAGGTGTGTCAACAGCAAGATCTGCTACTGGCTTACTTTCACAATGGGCAATTTATACTTTCCACATCTTCGAGGGATCTATATCTTATCACTTCGTACAGATATATTTCTGGGAGTCTTAAAAGTGCTACGTTACCTGTAATCAACCTTGTTGTCGAATGGTCTGCCATTTGAATTTATGGTCGTTAGTGACTGTTAGGGACTGTAGGCAATATCTGAGGAAGCTTTTTAGTTTTGACCGTCTTTATGTTGTCCTTGCTAAAATGCTAAAGTAATACATTCCCGGATATATATCCGAGATGGTAGGGTGTGCAAATCAATGTCTTCCAATTCTATGCCTACTCCTTGCCGCAGCAAGCCTGATATATATTTCACATGATATAAGTTAAAACAACACGTCGAAGAAAATAGGAAATGAAGTAATTGGCATCAATCCAACAACGCCACCAATGCAGGTACCAGCCAGCTAGGGTATACATGAGAAAAGAACAGGAGCAAACGTGAAGATAGACCATAACCACATCCAGTGGGAGTCTCACGCACTCCAAGGTCAAAAAGAGATAATAAAAAGGGTGATAAGGTCATGACAAAGAAAAGGGAAGAAGAACCAGAGAAGAAGAAAGAGATCTATACCGCCACGTCACCCTTCATTTCCACCATCTCATACTCATCCCCGGCACTGCTACTATCGCGCAAGCCTCGTCCTCTTCCTCTACCCCTCGATAGTGAGAATGACTCCTCTTCGCCAGCACCACTTTGTGTTTCACCACTTCCTGAAGCTGCAGCAGATGCACCACTGCTACTGCCTCCGCCGATACCACCGAAACTGATGGGCTGCAGTTCCCGCCAACGACAGGCCCAGATGCCCAAGAACGTCATGAACGCGGCACTCGCACCTTGCAGGCCCCACCAGAGCCAATTCGCGGGCACGGAATGCGTGTACAAGGTTGTAGCGATGAGGTGGAGGAAGTGTAGGGTAAGAGCGAAGTCAGGGATAAGCTTGGACCGAGCGACGAGGAGAAGGAGAAATATTGCCCTAGTTGTGGATTTCTTATTAGAATGTGTGCCTTGTACTGTGGAAAGACAAGCTAGAGAACTCACCCAATCCCACTCGTCAACAACCACACCAAGCCAAGCATCCATCCGATCGTCGTATCACCGCGGAGGGCATTCCAGCTGAAGACAAGGTCGAGGGAGAAGGGTGTACCGTAGACGACCGTCGTAAAGAGGATGAGAGCCGTGGCGGTGACATAGTAGGCGACTTGAAGGAGGAGGATCTTCCGGACAATCTTCAGTGGGGGGAGGTCGGTTCGAGAGCCCGCTCGAGGGGCCCGGCGGCGCGGGGGCATGAACTGTTTATTTTGATTGTGTATAGGCGATTAGATGAGGTTGGGTGTGTTGGAGGGACCCCGAACTGCGGTGGTCGGGAGTTGTGTAGTGTATTTGACCGCAAACGTGTCTGCGAGACGTCAAGTCTAATTAACGCGTTCCTGAATAACGCCAGGCCGGAAAGAAAATATCGCAGGGCAGAATTCCTCGGGTTGTATGACGTGGTGCTGCAGGGCTGATTGATCGATAAATATCCAGAGCGCCGTTCGGCGATGTTGGAGCCAACTTGACCGGACGGGTTAGCGCCACATGACCGGCGTCCGCGGCGGCGGAGCGGAGCAACCAATGCATCATCTCAATTATTGTCGTTCAATATCCGGACATTCTAGAAACCCCATCTACTCCTCGCACCCCTTCTACACAACCACATACCTACCATAACAATGGGCTGGCTTCCCTGGTCCTCCGAATCTACCAACACCGCCTCCGATGGTGGCCGCATAGCTCCCGATCGAACCTCCCGTCAACGATGCTACGAGGGCCGCGACATGTTCTTTTCCTGCCTCGACCGCAATGATATCTTGGATGCAATTAAGGATGACAAGGAGGCGCGCCGGAAGTGTGGAAAGGAGATTGCAGAGTTTGAGACAGCTTGTTCGAGGGCGTGGGTATGTGTTTCTTGCTTTTGTTACTTGTGCTTTGGCTTTCGCTTGTTGCTGGGCTTCACTGCGGCACGAGATAAGAAGACCATGGCACTTTCGTCACCTAGTATTGAATCTGAAGCTAATTGTATACGTTCCCATGGCAGGTCAAATATTTCAAGGAGAAGCGCGTGATGGAGTATAACCGGGACAAGACAATTGAGCGGATCAAGAAGGAAGATGCGGCCCAGGTTCAAGAATTAAAAGCACAAGGGTGGAACTCTCGTTAAAGAAGATGGAAAAAGAATAGTTGAGGTGATTGCTTGTGATCGGGGAAGTGGCGGCGCCCGTTGAGGGCTTTCTACCTGTACGATATTGATGTACGCTTACCAGGCTTCTAATGACTGCCGGACCGCATGCTACTAGATACTCTCCACTATAGGCTGGAACTGTGGCTTATTAGAATTACCGTGTGCTTGCATTGTGTCTGCCATGCTAGTCACTATGCCTGAGACCCCACAAGAATCCGTGGATAAAAATAGATACAATAGCTCCGCATAGAACCCCAACATCGCTGTCCGATGTCTAATTCAATACCTCAAAGCCAACAGAACCATTGCACCCCTATAACGTGTATTCGCTGATTCGATCGAGTGCGCAAGAAATCAACCCAACAACAGAACCTTCATAACCTTTACCTGCGGTAACGTTCCATATCCGAGTCTCAATCAATCAATCAATCAATCAATCAGTCAACGCCCGACTCCTTAAATGTCGCCAACGACTGCGAAGCCAGAGAGAAAGAGGAAGAGAGGAAAGAGAAAAGACGAAAGAAAACAAGGAATGTCATCAATCATTGCTTCCATTTGCCCAGTTGGTTCATGATGTTCTGCACATGGGGACCAACGGCTGCCTGGTTTTGAGGCTGCTGGCCTCCAAGTCCTTTGGCAAGTAACGAAATCAAGTTGGGGTCGGATACCAAAGGAGCATTTGGCGCTTGCAGAGGAAAGGGCGGTGGAGCTAGTGGCTGTTGCGGGTTAGCAGCAACAGGCTGGCGAGTGGCAGCGTTCAGCAGGCTAGCGAGGTCTGCTGCGCCATGCGGCGTGCTGGCACTAGGAAACGGCTGCTGCGCCGTTGGCACGGCTGGCGGCCGTTGCTGGAGCACTCCCAGCAGCGATTGTAGTGTGGGCCCGTCAAGGGAAGTAATCAGGTTGGCAATATTGGGCTGATTGGCGACGGTAGGCAGCGGCGCCTGAGGAGGCACTGTTGCAGCCGGAGCAGGAAGCGGGGGAACCCCAAATGCCGGGTTGGGAGGGAAAGGCGCCGGAGGAGCGCCACGCTGCATCGACTGGGCATGGAACACAATCTCGGCGGCGATACTGGGCTCGACATCGGGGTATTCTAGCAGGAACACTGTCAGCGAACCACAACTCATGCAGGCCTACTGAGGATAATGGCGACTCACCGTTGGAGCGAACATTGTCTGCCCCCCCGCTTCGGTCAAACACCTGCAGGGGTATTTTCCTAGAGAACTGACTAGGGCGCGAAAGCCTCACTACGGCAAGTACGCCCTCCTGAATCTGTCGTTGAACAGCTGCGTTCAGGGGAATTCGGGGTCCAAGGACGAGCACATCCACCCGGAGACCCCGGTTACGGAAAGAGTTCTCCACAAAGAAAATGAAGTTGCTGGCCACGGCATTAGACATTGCTTGGATGGTCCGCAGAGAAGAAAAACAAGAACCACTCACCGATCCAATTCCTCGAGCACAAGGATCTGTACTTCCGGTACGTCTCTCGGAGCTCGCCGAGGAACGGGCAGGTCTGCATCAGCTTCGTAAGACCCACGACCCCGTGGGCTTGGGGTGCGATATCTGCGATCCCTGGTGTAGGGCGACCGGGAACGCCGCCTCTCACGTCGATCGTACCGCTCTGGAGTTCTATCCCGAGACCGGTACCCGTCCCTGGCGCGGAAAGCACGAGGAGACGGCGAGCGAGGTGGAGGGGGTGGCCGATAGTCGTCACGTCTACGGTGACCGGGCTCATCCCTAAAATCACTGAATGGCACGCGCCCCGATTCGTACGGACGGTCGTAACGATCAGCCGGGGCTCTCGCACTGCGGCTGCCAGAAGGACCACTCCGGCTGAATTCTGGAGACCTCGAGCGCCTTGGTGGAGGAGCGCGAGAAGGTTCTGCCGGGGCGGCCCCGGGCCTTGTGCTCCTCTGTGGCTTCGAGATTTCGAGATCTGGTGCAACACGGATGAGTCTCAAGCGAGGACATCCATTGTCGAGCGGGTATACTTACGGACTTTGCGTCCTCTAACAACAGCTCCTTGCTCAGCGTCGAGAGCCTGTTTACAGGCAGACGAGTCAAGGAACTGGATGAACCCGTAGGCCTGCTTGATGGATATCTGCGCCAATTTCCCGAACTTGTGGAAGATGTGGAATAAATCGCGCTTCGTCACTCTTTCAGTGGGCAGATTACCTGCGACCTCGGTCAGATCACTGTTTGGGCCCTTGTCTTCATACACAGCAAGTAGTACTAACCGACAAACAATCTAGACCCCGGCGGGAACCGGTCCCAAAGACCTTCAGTTACGTAGATCCTCTCGTCATGCAGAAACTCATCGTACTTCTTCTGCACCTCGGGGCCCCATGGCGTGTCTTCATCGGAACCCTTGTTCTGCCGGGCCACTACCCGTTCACCGCCACCCTTTCTGTTATTCACTGGTCCTGGGGAGTCCTGAGTCTCAGAGGTAGTAGTAGATGTAGACTGCTGGAAACTCGGCACGGGGGGAGGGGGCAAAGCGCTGGCACCCGAGGACGTCCCCGGTGCGCCAGCCGCAGCCAATGATGGGAGGCCCAGATTGGACTGATAATTACTCTGCTGGGCGGTGTAGGTGGAGGAGGGGGAGGGCTGTGCATTGGAAGTATTAGGGGGGAGCTGGTGATATGACCGGATGTCATCACTGGCATTGTAGTTGGGATGGATAGAGGGCTTCTCCTGGGGAGGGGGGCGAGGGGGAAGTCCCATGGAAGATTGGAGCGCCTCGTCATCCGTTCCTGCCTGGGGAAGGGCAGAAACGTCTGTAGACAAAGGCGCTGTCTCTGAGACCGCAGGGGCAGAGGGCGCAGTGGAAGAAGGGGGCAGATTATCGAGGAGGTTCTGAAAATCGACACCATCCTCACCAGTGTTATCATCAGCTTTGCTCTGGGAGTCTAGGCGAGTTTGCGGCGCGGGCTGGGCGGTCCAGCTGGCGACTGCGTGGTCTACCTCGCTCGCACTGGGGGTGTCTTGAGCGGCATGGGAGGAAGAGGGAGGGACATCGGGGGGAGGAGGAGGAGCTAGGAGGGAGGCGGGATCTGATGGAGGAAGAGTGGTTAGAGAAGAGTCTGTTGGAGCGTCCTGGGCTGCGGAGGAGGTACCGCCGGCCATGGGAGGCGCGGGTTGGTCTGATGCAAAGGACGCCTGGGCAGTTGTAGCCGTAGCAGACAGTGCGTGGGCAATCTTGTTCATCGATCCATCCTCCACCTGCGACGAATCCGAGTGGAAGCTACCTTGAGTGTTTGGTGGTTGGCGCGGTGGTGGTTGCTCCGGCACTTGCACGGAGCCAGTAGTTCCCCTCACTTCGCCGGGCCCTGCATATTGGCCACGAAGTGAGGTGAAATCATTGAGATGCGCCTGGGAACTATTGCCAAGGAAGGCCTCGGACTTCTCATAAGTCGACGTGTCGTTAAAAACAGGGTCCATTTGATTCTGAAGCACCGGGATCCTGGCAGGTTCCGCGACGTGTAGCGGACGAGGGCTCTCGGGAGTCAGGGTCTTGCCGCGGAAGTGAAGAGCTTCATCTGGGGAGCTGGGCGTCATGTAGACCAGGGGGGAGAGGTCGATTCATCTACAAGAGCACACAAGAAGGTCCGACAAGAACCACACGGAGATGGGGTTTTTGGAAAATCGACAAAGCTAAGGTGGGGCTATCTTGCAAAATGAACCGGGCCGTTGGAGCCGGGGCGGTAAAAGGGATAGCAGCAACCCAGAGGGAAGTAGTAAAAGAGAGAGGGGTGGGCTTCTTTTTTTTTTTTTTCTCTTTCTTGTCTTCCGATGGTGTGGATGGGTGAAGAGTAAAGAGACGGATGGCGAGAGAGAAGATAAAAAGACAAGCCACACACACACAGTCTCTGACACTCACACCCCTGGATCCTGTCCGAGGATAACACAAGAACCAGTGAGACTTTTTTTTTTTGTGAAGGGGAGGCGGGGGAGGGAAGGAGAAAGCGCGTAAATAACAAAGCGATAAGCGCAACGGAGAAATGGATGAAGTAAACAGTATAAGAGAACAACCGAAAAGGAAAAAAGAAATAATAGTACAAGGATGGGTGAGCAAAAAGGGGAGAAAGATCAGGAACAAGCCGTTATAGAAAGCTCTAGCAAGATGGAGTCACGGAACAACAAGGAAAGGCGATGAGGAAGTGAGAGATGAGGAGGAGCGCGTATTATTTCATCAATACCCAATGACAATTGCCAGGAATTGGAACAGAACGAGGGACAAGCGATCAGCAGACGCAAGATTGCGATGGAGGAGCTAAAATGGTAAATGGAGCAGGGAAGAAACAATGCCTTATCCACCAGCTGGATGATGGATGGCTGGACTGCTTTTTCGCGCTTCACACAGATTCAATCTCTGGTGGTGGAGGGGGGGAAGAAGAGAAAGAGGAAAGAGGAAAGGGTGGTGAGAATACTGAGAAGATTCGAGCTCCACGGCGTAACTTGAAAGTTACGGAAAGGTCAAAGTTTGCGCAAGTCAGTACCGGCGCCATGCCTGATCGGGGTGTTTTAGTGCTTCAGCAGGTCCAGCCAGGCGGTGTGACTGGCTGGATCGGACACTAGCGGCGGGTCATGGCGCACCTGGATTTTTTTCTCTTCTGAAACTGGCCGTAGTTGGCATCGGTATCAATTAGTCAAGCCCGACTACTTTTGTACTAACTACGGAGTATCTGGACTAACACAGTAAACTAAAAAACGTTAAGTCCCTCTAAGAATATCCCTGGGCCCCATGATGCCATCTTGCCATCTTGCCATCTTCGGGGCCAGATCCTTGTTGCCTCGCTCCGACGGAGTTCTTCCGTCTGTGGTGACTACACAATAATACTAATAACTAAGTAATAACTAAGTAGGAACTAGCTAGCTTGGGCTAAAGGCTCGGAACACTTGGAAGTCAACTGACTGGTTTGTTGTTGTTGTTTGAAATGCCACCTTGGTGTCGGTATCGGAACCATTGTTCAGAATTTCAAGCGGTGACCGACCCAACCTATCCATCTACCTACTTAGTACTCTTTTAGTCTGAAGAATCTAAACATCCATCTTTGATTAATGACCAAGCTACTATCTCACTAAAAATCGCAACCGAGGCCGACCGCTGCTAACTACTGAGATTGGTGTCTACCCTACCCGTTGACGAACCATCAGCCCGACCCTGCCGGTCACCCTACTTTTAAATTACCTGAATGGGTCCTTGGTGAAAGTAACTCCGTCATATCCGTACTAAAAGCTACTTTACTCTAGCTCGGCTTCTGGAAGATCCTCGTGCTTGTTACTCGTTAGCATACCCATCCTTAATTCAATGTCCCTGTTCCTATCGGTCCTACCTGCAGCTGCGCGGCACCTCCCTTCCCCGCGCACTGCTACTGCTGCTACTACTGCTCTTACTACTGCTGCTGCGAACATGGTGCGAGCGAATCATGTAAGCCGTGGATTAGAATCCATCATGGCACATGCCCGGCTTTCTCTCCCCCGTAATTTTCACCGCGTTTCCCTCGCTTGCTATTATCCCCCTTCGTCCCGCCCCACCGTCGCGACACGAACCTTTGCGTCCAGGCGAGCCGCCGCCATCTCGACTCCCTCGGGCCTAGATTCGGACCACCACCTGACGGCGGCTAGGGAATGGGTCGCTAGGCTCAATTCAAAGGCTATCACCATCCCGCGTGACATCTGCGAGATTTCCTTTAGTCGTTCTAGTGGCCCTGGAGGTCAAAACGTGAACAAGTCGGTTGCCGCCATCGGTCTGAACCAGCCACTCCCATTGATTGGTGACTAACATGTATCTGTCAATGCTACTTCGTATAGGGTGAACTCGAAAGCCACATTACGAGTCCCCCTCAAATCATTACTGCCTTTCGTCCCCCAACTTCTACATGCCCCGCTGCAAGCGTCTCGATACGTCGCAGCGAAATCCCAGTTTCTGGTCATTCAATCGGATGAGTCGCGCAGACAGACCGCCAACGTGGAGGCTTGCTACGATAAGCTCCACCAGCTCCTCAAGAGCATAGCAGAGGACACGATTCCCGGAGAGACTTCGCAAGAACAACGTGACAAGGTACAAAAACTGTATGTATTTCTCCTCTGGGTATTTAGGATCCACTTTGAGGAACATGCGAACCTCGGACTGATCTAGCGCAGAAAGAAAGCTGCAAACGAAGCCCGCATCAAGTCGAAGAAAATGCACAGCAGCAAAAAGAGCAGCCGCCGGGGTAGTTACGACGACTAACAAACATGCTAACTTTTCATCACCTAATAACCAAGAGGACCTTTCCCTCATTCTCATTGCCCATTAAGCTTGCGACGGAAAAAGCCCGATAAACGCCGATGAATGATTTAAATGAAATGTAAGCTCTATGCTTCCTGTACAATGCGTTCCGCGTTACGGATAGTCGCAGAAATCGCCTTTTGGAGAGACGCATCCACGCCTTCTGTCTTCTCAAGGGGCTGTAGCCAGCTGATGATCTCCTTGGCGACGTTGGGGTTATTCCGGTACTCCTTGATACGGGCAAATGATGCGCTAAACGCACGTGGGAATTCGGGCGAAGTGACCTGGAGTCCGGCGGTGGGGAATTTGATGTAGCAGATTTGCGTATGGGGGCTGTTGGGCTTGCTCTGCTGCATCACGTCGACCACATGGCCGAGAATCTTGTGCAGACAGGGCAGGTCGTCGAACTCGACTGCCATATCGTAGAATTCATGACCGAAACGGTCGTCATTTTCAAAGTTCTTCATGGCTGTATCGAAAATGGCGAGAGGGATGGCACCAGTCAGTGCAGGGGTGTTGGCAAGGTTGTCCAAAGCGACTTGATCCACACCGCCATCCTCTCCAGCACCGGGGTTGATATCTTCTCCAGTAATCTTGGGCATAGCGATCATGTCGGCATCCATATCATCCTCCTCCGCTGGCTTCGGGGCTTCAATCGGCTTATCGAGACCCAAAATTCGCTGTCGAGCAACCAACTTGGCGATATATATCAATTCCAGTTTGGCATAGTGGAGCCACAGCTTCTTCGAACTTTTGCAAAAGCGCAATCCGCGCTGCATGTAACCCCTAGATTGTGTCATATCCGCATGCTCATCCACAGCGTATTGCGCAGCGTATAGCCACAAATCGACGTTGGCGGGATGTAACCGCAAGGCGTCTGTAAGAATGCTCGAGACCTTTTTGTAGGCCTTTTGTTGTTTTGCGTATTCGAGGTACTGCACCCACAAGCCCACATCTCCATGAAACTTGCGAGTCGCGCGGTCAAGGATGAAAAAGATGCGCCTCTGCCCAGTGTATCCCGCCGACCTGATTCCCAATCGCTTCACCCTCTTCCGGCGCAGGGTGTCTAGGTTCATCTCGTATTGCGCATATCGGACGAAGTCAACGGGCAGGGCGCCACGTGCATTAAGTTTGTGCTCAAAGTCGGACCGTTTCTTGATGATGGCTGTGATTTCCTCCTGCAAGCAGATCAAACGGCATGTCAGTTTTCTAGGCGCATTCAGGTGGGTAGATAGATGATGACCATGAGCGCCAAATACCTTAGAGAAGATTTTCTTCCGCTCAAACTCCTTGAGCTCAGGGACCGACTTCTCCAAAAAGAAGCGGGCCTTGTCGGTAGCAGCTGACATGATTGCTCTGGATGGCTTTGGCAAGCAGCGACTTCAGCAGTTCCTTTGCAACCCAGAAATCCAGCCAGAACCAGACGATAGGCAAAAAAAGTTGTCGGCATCCCGCACGAGATCTCCGCCCAGGGACCTGGCCGCCTGCCTGATCGGGGCTAGTGGCTGGAGCGCGCCGCCCGCGTGTTGCCGAGCCTCGCTCCGAAGGTCATCCCATCATCTGTCTCTCTCTCACCTTCAGGGGAATCTTGGGCTTCTCGCTGTTGGGATTCTTTGTACGACCCGCTCTTTCGCTTTTCTTTTCCCTTCTCATTTCATTTCTCTTTTATTGACGCTCATTTCTATCCCCCTTAGTCTGTTTCTTTATAGCTTATTCTTTTAATTGGCCGGAGTCCGTGCTCGGTGCCTCCCTGTGCTGCCATGGCACCCAGATATAAAGATGGGGATGCCGTTGTGGCGGTTAGTGTCTCTGCGCTTCGCGGTTTGTCAAGCTAATTGACCATCTCTCAGGTCAATGGAAAATGGATCTCTTGGGCACATACAGCTGTGGCCTACACGGCCTTCTTCAGTGCCCTGGTAGTGGGGATGTCCTTGCATTTCCACAAGATTGTCCAGAACGAACATTACGGCTACCCTGATGAATGGTTCCCTTCCGTGTCGGCCACCATCGGTGATCGCTATCCTGAACGCTCTTTCTTCCAAGTCTTCATTGCCATCACTTCCGGTCCTCGTTTCGCCCTCGTATTCCTTTGGTACCTCCTGACTGCCCGCCCTAACTCCGCCCTGCCAAAGCTGGTCGCTGGTGTGGGCTTGTTCCGGACATTCACGTGCGGAGGCTGGACTTATGTTACCTCGACTGATGATCACGACTGGCACGATATTTTCATGATCTCGTACCTGGTGGCAACTTTGCCCTGGACTCTCGGTTGCCTCGCCCTCAGTCCGAACAACCGCCGCGCTGTCAAGTACCGCAAGATTCTGGCCAGCCTGTTCTTTGGCACTCTGGTGCCGCTGATCTACTACTTCATCCAACACAAAGTGCACAAGGTTCCTGGGGGTAAGATCGCATGGATGCTGCTGCTGCTGTGGATGAGACTGTTAACCTTTGGCCAGCTTACACGAGATACGCCTTCTTCGAGTGGTCGCTTATTTTGTTTGATGTCGGATTCGATGCCGTCACAGCTCTTGACTTTGACGCATTCGAGATTGTTGTGAGGGATGTCAAGGGGGTTAGCAGAGGGTATGTACAATGGCTTCCAAAGTAATGCAGAGCAAGAGAGGAAAATGTACAGTCGCCAAAAGATGGTTGTCGGTATTTGAAAGACGTGATCTAAGATTCGCAAACTTCCAGGCAGTTGAAGACCACTGCGGACTCTGTCCTTGAAAAAGAGTGTGTACAATCTGATTTCCAGACTTAACCTGAACATGGCAGTTAACTCGTAGTCAGGAAGGGCAAGCCTGTCGGAAATACGTTTGGCGAGGGCTTTTTCTGGTCTGAAATCATCGATGCTGCTGCAGACGTCTACAATGGGGTACGCTTCAGATTGGGCTTTCCCTCAAATTATGTGGTTGCTGATAAGTTGTAGTTCGTCTTCTGGACCCTCTGCACTGCCCTTCCCGTTCTCGTCTGGTGTAAGTAGTGCGTTTCTTATCTGCAGGATCGCATGTCTGATTGGATGTAGACTTCCCCCTTTGGCACATGGGCATCTCCGGATATGAGGCAGCCATTGTCTGCTACCTTTCACCTTTGCTCCTCGGCATCCCGGCCATCAAATCTGCGGCAATCAAGAACCCTCGCCTTTTCCACCTGCTCTCGCTGTCCGGACTCCTGGCATATAAGGTGCAAGACCCTGCCAACCGCCTCTTCGTTATGGGCTTTGCCGTTATCTGCAGCTGTGTGACCTGGGCCGCTAGCTTGTATGCGGAGAGAGCGAACAACGTCAGATTGGAGTCCCGTATCCTTTCATGGAGCATCGGTTTGATTCTGTCTAGCGTCGCCAAGTTCGCATGCGCTACCAACAACCCTCTGTGGCCAATCATGCACGCTCAGAACGGTGGATGGAACAAGATTGGACTTCTTCTCGCTGTCCTGGCTGTCCTTCGATCCTACCGTAGACCTGCCACGAGCGGAGGAGATTATCTGCCGTCGAGTGGAAAGAAGGGCTCTCCGTTCCTGGCCGGTCTGGGTGTTGGCGGCTTGATGTTCGCCATGCACTACCTTCTTTCGGACTCTAGTACGATGATGTCTTGGGTCTGGGAGGGTTATCCGGTGCGGGGCCCCATCGCGGCTCCCCACGGTGCCGTCACCATCTTTACCATGGGTGCTGGTCTCGTCTACGGCCTCTTTTATCCTTCTGTGGCCGGTAGTTGGACAGCGTTCGGACTTGGCTCTCTGGGTGCCACATTCCTTACCTGCTACAGTCACTGGACCGGATACTATGGCGGTCTTGTCCTCACGTTCTACCTCCTGGCCGTGACACCCGTTCTCCTTTCCTCGGCCGTTAGACATTCTCCTGCATCTACGTTCGGTGTGGGCTGCGTTCTGTACATTTTCTTGATCCTGTTCCACGTTTGGGTCGTTGCTTACGCCTTTGTTCCTGGTGGATACCTCGTCAGAGAGCACACGGATTGGGTCGTGATTACCATCATGTTGTCCATTGGCGCTGGTGTCTTCTCGGCGGGTGTTTCGAATGCTTCCAGCCCGAAGATCAAGGCCGTTAGCCCTAACAGCAGAAGACAGCGTTCATACTTCATCTACGTCCTCGCGCTTCTGCAACTGCTCTCCGTCTCCATCGCATACCTCCGCTTCCCCACTAACGACTACACTCCTTATCATAAGGACGACAAAGTTGCCACCATGGGCATTTGGACGATCCACTTCGGCCTCGATAACGATATGTGGGCATCTGAGCGGCGCATGCGCGATGTAATCCAGGAGCTTGAGCTTGATGTGATCGGCTTGCTTGAGTCAGACAACCAGCGCATCATCATGGGCAACCGTGATGTTACGCAATTCTTGGCGGACGACCTGGGAATGTACGCGGACTTTGGACCGGGTCCCAACAAGCACACCTGGGGATCTGCCTTGCTCTCCAAATTCCCCATTGTCAACTCCACCCATCACCTACTCCCTTCACCTGTTGGTGAGCTTGCCCCGGCCATCCACGCCACTTTGGACATGTATGGTGAGCTTGTTGATGTTGTGGTCTTCCATTCGGGTCAGGAGGAGGATCCGGAAGACCGTCGTCTGCAAACGGAGTACTTGTCCAACTTGATGGGTTCGTCGTCTCGTCCGATGGTGTTGCTGAGCTACTTGGTCACCAAACCGCTCGAGGGCAACTACAACACTTATGTCAGTGATATCAGTGGTATGAAGGACATTGATCCCACGGACTGGGACCGTTGGTGCGAGTACATTCTGTTTAAGAAGTTGAAGAGAACAGGCTACGCCAGAGTTAGCCGTGACTCGATTACCGACACTGAGATCCAGGTATGCTCCTTTGGCCTAATTCACTTCCACGAATCTTTCCTATCTAACCAGCTATTCTTAATAGGTCGGTAAATTTGTGATTGGCGAGCCGGAACCGGAAAATGAAATGCGTATCCCCGAAGAAATGGTCCCTGAAGGCCGTCGATTCCCTGCATTGTTCCGCGGCCAGGGAGTTCGTGGTCATCGGTACCATGTCTTTGACGAGCCCCGATACTGGCAATGAGTGTTAGCTCTATTGAAGGGGCACATCATTCCAGATACCTCTGAGCAACATTGAATGTCTTCCATATACTGTTCTTGAGTATAGTTCATACGACAAGCATACCAGCATTGCGTGGCCAATTGCCTGCGGTGATCATATGTGGTCTTTTCGTTAAATCGTACATAATGCCATCTTTCCCTTATTCTTCTACTCAAAGTCGAATTTGTGCAACAAATCCGCAGCGAAGGTGCACTGTGAAGTGCTATACGGACTACCAGGCTCAGGGACGACGGGATTGCCTGCTGTTGGGTTGTAAACTTATTAGTAGAAGGGGATGGCAGGAGCTGAGGGCCCTGGTCTCGTGCCTGCCTGCCTGACTGCCTGATTGCCTGCCCCTCGTTCTGTGGAACGTACTCCAGGACTGACCTTCACCTTCAGTGCCATCCTTGACTGAGCTGTGGAATGCGAAACCGCCGATTAAGCATGTTCGCTAGGTCGATGTGACATAATCTATATGACAAGGTACACGATGCTGGTGGTCTTTACAGCGAAGCTCTGAGCTGGTCAGCTGCAAAGATCATTATTGTTCTCTTGATGATTCTTCCAGAGCAGGCAACCTTGTCAGAGAATACAGGCCAGTCACATCATAGAGTCAGATTCCAGCTGATACCGGTTGTGTCGAACCATTGTCCTGGACGAGTACCAGCGAGCACGACTACCAAGTACAACGTATATCACACCATAACAAAATCTTTTGACTAAGATCAACACTCAAGCTACCCACAAAAGAACATTCCAACGACAATAGAAAACAACGCTGAGGCAAGTAAGCACTTTCCATTGCTAGTTTACCAGTCATCCGGTGTCAGCAGCGCTAGGAATCCTCCGAGGAATGTACCGGGTACTTTGACTTTCTTTGTTGATCTTCGTCCCAGTTTTGCCTCCCCTAGATGGAGATTGTTTGATCTTTATCAGGCAACAATGAAAGAAAAGAAGGAAATTTCTTCGTTTATCTTCTAGGGCGGAAATGTGCTGAAAATGTACATAGGAAAGGCCAGAAGGACATCTGACAGGTGTGATGAGGGCCATGGAGAGACGATATTTGACGTCCTTTTTCTGCTGTCCTCGCGGGATTTACCGTCCCTGTACGTTGGAAGCTCAGCGAACCGAAAGTGATGGGTCTTTCTCTTTGGACTGAACTAACGGACCGATCAACAGCACAACTTGCGAGAGACTTGCTCCTTCAGGTTGAAGATTGCAGCAAAGTGCATGAGTGCTTTTCTTCAGACCTCAGCGGGTAAACGAAGGTCTAGGTAAGTTTAGCGTCGAGATCGATTGGCTTTGTTACTGACAATGCTGACGCCGGCTTATAGGTCTTTCACTTTGCAATTTCCGCCTCGTGGGAAGTTCTTGTTGATGCTTTCAGGGACAAAGAAGTGTCCAACAAAGACAGAGGAATACATTGCGTCTGTTCTATTTTTGTTGAATCAATTACTTCGATCGATATAAGTGAAAGGAAGTTCATTCGAAACCTAGCGTGAATGAACCCCTTCGATAATGCAAGTTGTCCCGGATATATTTGACTACCATCGCTCCGCACGGGGTGTCCGGGCTGACCATATTGTTTTCCAAGTCATCTTGAGCTTACAAGCTTTTGGGCTCGCATTCTGAGAAATTTATACTACGAGGCGTACTTCCAGTGTGTACTCGAGCATTATACTCTCGTTCAAGCTATCCACATCCACCGCTCCATCAACTTGATAAGCAATGTCTGAAGAACCCGGCAAGCGGCTCGAGGATCCGTCGCAAAGAACTTCCCTTGACGCAAACCCACCAGGGGACCAACACGTGGAGTTTGTCAATGCGGAACCTGAAACCCTGTCAAGTGGTACCGGGAGGCTTTCGGCAGGACGTGGGGCCATCCTGGCCAATGCTGCCAGAGAACTGCAGGATGTCGCTGCTAAACAACCAACTAGCCATACGAGCAATAGCCTCCAACCTCTACATCTGGGGACGCGAAGATCTCGACCATATGGAGAACCAGTCGTCCCGCCAACGTGGACAGAGGGACCTCAGGGCAAGAAGTATCATCGACAAATGCCCGTTGGTGAGATGGTAGCACCGACTCAACCTGGCACAGGTGAAGGTTACAATTATAGTTCATATAAGCGGCCGCCTTTATTCACGCAGGCCCCCAAGCACAAGGTCCATCGGCCAAAGTCCCCTATTGAAGGACACAGTCGATACTTAGCAGGAACATTAAAGATGCTATCCATGCATAACAACCCTCCCCAACAGGAAAATGATCCAAACAACGATATAGACACACCGCCAGCTGAGTACATGGACCATGAACCGCCATACACTGCGGATGATGGTGGAGTCACAAATCAGGGTGAGTGTAAATGGATTTGGATTGTTGTCACTTTACTTGTGTTGAGCATGTTCCTATGCCTCTTTTTGTACGTGTTCAAGGTTATCAGATGATGTAATGTATGTCTTGTCGGAGCGGCCTAAGTCGCTATAAGCAAGCCTGTTTGGCGATATATACGAGCTATCTCTAAGATATTGCGGCTTACGGGAAGGACTTGCTCACATTCTTCATGTATCCCTTGCGTTATACATTCCGGAACTCTTTCTGATGTGCTAATTCTGGCCATGTGCTTAGCTCGTGGGGGTAATGTGGTAGTCTATGACCAATATGACCCAGACATTCATCCTCACCCGCCCCCTGATCCCCAGTTATATGGATTTGGAGTACCGCAACAAGGTAAAGACACTGTTGACTTCTCCTTCTGAAAGTGATGGAATGTCTGGCTGATGGGGAATCTAGTGCCTCCAGGAGGAGCGCCTGACAGGCCATCAAGACAAGGTGCGAAAGCTTTAGCGAGGGAAAGACCGAGACAGCTACGGCAAGGTCTAGCAGAACCGCAAGTACTTACTGGGGTATTAGGAGCGACATCGGAACCGAAGAGGCAGCTGCTACAAGAACCGCTTAATGGAAATAGACTTCTAGCGATACAAGAGGCTCGAGCCCGCCCACCAGGGTGGACAGGATGGTACAACATAACAAGGCCACATGTCGACGTATACCCGGCTCTGATCGAGCCGGTCGACGAGATAAGAGGACAACAACGTCGGATTGAAGGTGGTGAAGCCGGCTCACGGAGGAGTCGACCTGCTCAGGGACCACCTGCTCAGGGACCACCTGCTCAGGGACCACCTATTCAAGGACCACCTATTCAAGGACCACCTATTCAAGGACCACCTATTCAAGGACCACCTGTTCAGGGACCGCCTATTAAAGGACTACCAGTTCAGGGACCGCCAGTTCAGGGACCGCCAGTTCAGGGACCGCCAGTTCAGGGACCGCCAGTTCAGGGACCACCAGTTCAGGGACCACCAGTTCAGGGACCGCCAGTTCAGGGACCACCTGCTCAGGGACCAATCATTCCAAGAGTAATTTCCAAGGTAAATGACAGCACGCAATACATGCATGATCACTACGATGAATATTACCCTCAAGATATACTTCACCGGATGAGAAATTGGGGCGGAGTGAGCCCAACCAGTTTGCATTCTGCTCTGGCTCCAGGTCAGCTTGAGCAGATACCTAGGGCTCCGCCTCCGCTACCCAAGACGGCGCCAGCACAAGTTGAACCAGCGAAGAAGGGAAAAGCGAAAGGGACGAAGAGGAAGAGGGCTACAGAACCGGAGAATATGGAACCATCAGCACGCTCAGCATCACCAAGACGCTCAGCGCGCTCAGCACGCGCAGCACGGCCACCAGCATCAGCAGGAGCTGCAGCAGAGGAAGCAGCACCAGCACGCACAGCAGCACCGAAACGATCGGCAGTACCAAAAAGCTCAGCAGCACCAAAACGCTCAGCAGCACCAAAACGATCGACACGCTCAGTACGGTCATTAGCATCAACGGGGCCTGCAGCAGGGGAAGCAGGACCAGCATCGCCACCGCGGCGAATGCAAACGCGGGCCATGGCCAGGTCCCAGGGGAAAGAGGCTGCAAAAGCAACTAAGAAAGGTTGAAGTGGATGCGACAAAGCATATGTTCTTATGTATTTAGCATGTCTTGTAGCTTTATTCACCATGCTTGTTATTGTTTGTCTTTGTATACTTCGACAATAGTACTATGTAGTTGATCTGCATCATGATTACCCGATAAAGAGAGTAGTGCAAACCGGACAAACCAGACCCGTGATGTGATACTGCTTTGTGTCTGCCGATGTCGACCAAACAATCCGCGGCATCAGCATCCTTCGCACTCAGCCATTGTTTCATATTAGTGAATGCTGCTCAATAGTCTGGATATGTTACGATAATTGCCAACTGGTCGCGCATCTGTTCGTCGTTACCCCGTCTGGATCGATGAGCTAAGTGAGAGCGCTTCCCGAGTCTCCGCGACAGCCTCAACTGCAGCTCTCCTGGGATCGCCGCGCACGAGAATCTCCAAGCCAAGATGTTCACCTTTACCCCCCTTCTCGGCGCGCAGTCTGCGTCATCGAAGGCTTCACAATCGATTCTCGAGCTTGATGGAGGAATCAAGATTCTTGTGGACGTCGGTTGGGATGACACCTTTGATCCTCTCGACCTGCAGGAACTTGAAAAGTGAGCTACCACTGCAGTCCTGTATACCTATCGGAGGAGTCTGTCTTCTAATATGATAATGATAGACATGTCCCGACCCTGTCGCTCATTCTTCTAACCCACGCTACACCCGCTCATATCGGTGCCTTTGCCCATTGTTGCAAGACCTTCCCTCTCTTTACGCAAATCCCCGTCTACGCTACGAGTCCCGTCATTGCGCTCGGTCGCACGTTGCTACAGGATTTATACGCCTCTTCTCCGCTGGCCGCAACATTTCTACCCAAAGCCTCGATCTCCGAGCCCGGCGCTTCTACGGCCGCAGCATCAGCTGCTGCGTCGGTGGCCGAAGGCGATGAAAGCGCCGAAGCTACTCATGCCGGGCGCATCCTCCTCCAACCTCCCACCGCCGAAGAAATCGCCCGGTACTTCTCTTTGATACACCCTTTGAAATACTCACAACCACACCAACCGCTTCCGTCACCATTCTCCCCGCCCCTGAACGGCCTTACGCTGACCGCATACAACGCTGGACATACCGTTGGTGGTACGATATGGCATGTACAACATGGCATGGAGTCAATTGTCTATGCGGTCGACTGGAACCAAGCTCGAGAGAGCGTCGTCGCGGGCGCTGCCTGGTTTGGAGGTTCCGGTGCTAGTGGAACGGAGGTCATTGAGCAGCTGCGCAAACCTACGGCGCTGGTATGCAGCACCAGGGGAGGCGAACGGTTTGCATTGCCCGGAGGCAGGAAGAAACGGGATGACTTGCTGCTGGACATGATTCGGAGCACCATCGCCAAGGGTGGTACAGTGCTGATTCCTACGGATACTAGCGCTCGTGTGCTGGAGCTGGCTTATGCACTGGAACATGCCTGGCGCGATGCGGCAGGCTCTGGCCAGGGTGACGATGTACTGAAAGGAGCCGGATTATACCTGGCCGGCCGCAAAGCTAATACTACGATGCGACTGGCAAGGAGTATGCTGGAGTGGATGGACGAGAATATCGTGCGAGAGTTTGAGGCGGCTGAGGGTGTGGATGCAGCGACTGGTCAGTCAAATACAGAAGGCCAACGTGCAGGTCAGAATCAGGGCAAGGCAGAAGGGAAGGGCGTGGGGCCTTTTACATTCAAACATCTCCGAATCTTGGAACGCAAAAAGCGATTAGAGAAGATTCTGTCCGACCAGAAGCCCAAGGTCATCCTGGCTTCCGATACGTCGCTGGATTGGGGATTCGCAAAGGACTCTCTTCGTTTGGTGGCGGAAGGTGCTAACAACCTACTGCTTTTGACGGAGCCTCTGCATAAGGAGAGGATCACGGAGGGCCAGGAAAGCACCCACAGGAAGACGCTCGGCAGTATGATCTGGCAGTGGTATGAAGAACGGAAGGATGGTGTCGCTCTGGAAAAGGCATCGGATGGCGAGATGCTGGAACAGGTGCACAGCGGAGGCCGGGATCTCTCCTGGACGGATGTGCGACGTGCGCCTTTGGACGCAGGCGAGCAGTTGCTCTACCAGCAGTATCTGGCCACGAAACGACAACTTCAAGATACCTCACAAGCAAGAGGACAAGAAAATCTTGACAATGCCGCCGACGCCCTCGATGACCGGTCAAGCTCTACATCAGAAGACTCGGAGACGGAACAGCAGGGTCGTGTCCTGAACTTCTCGACCTCCTTAGCACACTCCAACCGAAACAAGCTCGGCCTCAGCGATGAAGACCTTGGCGTCAACATTCTTCTACGACGCAAGAATGTCTACGACTACGATGTACGAGGCAAGAAAGGTCGCGAGCGCATGTTCCCGTATGTGGCACCGCGGAAGAAGGGGGACGAGTATGGCGAGTTCATCCGGCCTGAGGAGTACCTCCGTGCCGAGGAACGTGAGGAGGCCGACATGCAGCAGCGCCGGACCGACTCCCAGACCAAGCTGGGACAGAAACGTCGCTGGGACGAAACAGCGCCCCACGGACGTCGACTGTCGGGCAGTGGCGCCAAACGGCAAGCGCTTGGCGATGCGCAGAAACGGGATGTCAGCACTGCTGACGAACTGAGCCTCGCCGAAGACGGCGAAGTGGATGCCGCGGTATCCTCGGAGGATGAGGTGGAAGGACAGAGCTTCGAAGGGCCAGCGAAGGCAATATACGAAAAGGCTACACTGACAATAAATGCCCGGCTGGCATACGTGGACTTTGCGGGACTACACGACAAGCGCAGTCTGGAGATGCTCATCCCACTCATCCAGCCCCGGAAGCTGATCCTGGTTGGTGGCATGAAACAGGAGACGACCGCATTGGCGACCGAATGCCAGAAGCTCCTGGCAGCCAAATCCGGAATGGATGTTTCGGCCGCGGATTCGGCAGTCATCTTCACGCCAGTCAACGGTGAAGTCGTTGACGCCAGCGTCGACACCAACGCATGGATGGTCAAGTTGAGCAACAACCTGGTCCGGCGTTTGAAGTGGCAGCACGTACGCAGCCTGGGCGTGGTTACGCTGACGGCACAGTTGCGGGGGCCGGAACAGGCCGTACTGGAGGATGCTACAGAAGAGAACCCCAGCAAGAAGCCGAAACTATTGGAGGAAGAGAAGAAGGAAGAAGGAAGTAGCACCGAGGTCGCGACGAACGCACCACCAGAGGGGGCCAAACCATCAGCCGACAAGTCCGAGGTATACCCACTGCTGGATGTGCTGCCGGTCAACATGGCGGCGGGGACGCGGTCCATGACCCGGCCGCTCCATGTGGGCGACCTGCGGCTGGCAGATTTGCGCAAGATCATGCAAGGGGCCGGGCATACGGCAGAATTCAGGGGCGAGGGAACGCTCCTTATCGATGGGATGGTGGCAGTGCGAAAGTCGGCGACGGGGCGGATTGAGATTGAAGCATCCGCGCAGTCTGCGGCGTCGACAAATCTGGGACGAGGAGGAGGGAGCTTCTTGGCTGTGAAGCAGAAGATTTATGAAGGATTGGCTGTTGTGTCGGGGAGTTAGGTGCTGCCACGAACCGGTTCGTCTGATGTTGGATTATACCAACCCAGTAGATTAAAGAAGACATAAAATATCCGTTTACCCACTATACCTATGAGATGTAGTATGCATGTCATGACTTTGGCCCGTCAGCCAAATCCTCCGAATAGCACTGTGTAATTTAGCCCCATTAGGTGAGCGTGCAGGTAGTAGTATACTGTAAGTCAGCATTATAACTCAATGGCACTTGTCACATCATCGTAGTGGTATATAGTAGTTGATCATGAATCGTTCACTAATACACATCTATCTACTATAAGTATACTATAAATGGACATGTCTTAGTCCCATCAAGCCACATTCTTGACTACTGTATGTTATTTACCCCTTTTCCTGCCCCAGATCCCGAAGTTGAATCAATAGTCGCGGGAGGGGGTTCCTGGAAGGGCTAGAACTATGATCTAGGGAAGGCCAGGCCAGGAGGCGGGAACTAGTTGTGTCAGATGGCGATAGTGTAGTTATTGTGGGAGGAACCTGATAGAATCTAGATTGTATGTGTAGATATTTTTGGTAGATGGTATATACTATGCTTTGTAGTGAGTACATAGGTGGGTAGGGTTTTGGGATGGATGAATCAGGGGGATGTTATTATTATCATTTTGAGTCTAGAGTGGTGTGGTATACTAATGAGGATTTGTTGAGCATGATCCTGGATTGATTAATTAAATGTGTATGTATTAGTTATGGTTGGGATTCGAGAGCATTGTTAGTAATAACTTTCAGCCTGAGGTATCTATCCATCTATCCATCCATCTACCCAGTAACTTAAGTATCTTGTAAGATTACTCACAATGAGATCAATCTGTCTCAGATGTCAGCTTTCAATCCCTTAGCAATTGGAAGTGGAACCTGCCATTTCCTTGATTGCGAGCAGCGATACTTGTCTTACAGGTACACAGCAAGTACCCCGTAACCTTGTAGAAACAACCAGATCGTGATCCCAACCACCTAGACTACAGTAGTAATCAATCCATTCATCCGGGAATATCCATCAAGGCAACAATAAACGAGGAGAAAGAGGCAAGCAAGCAGGGTTCCCCTCATCACGGCGGCATTCTCTCGGATCCGTCGGATAATCTCCTCCATTCCATTCCCCCACCACAACCATCACCCACCACTTGCAATAGTAGTAACTCGAAAGACCATTATCCAGAGCACCACACATACACACCAACCACCAAAGCAACAAGTGATAGACAAGAGAAGTAGGACTATGTAGGAGGAGGGGTAAAATGTGAAACACATCCAAAACACACCTACCTAACCCCCACTCACCGTCACCATCAGCAGTAGCATCAGCACCATCAGCAGTGGTGAACCCACCACGTCAACCATCAAACATACACACTCTCATTGGCTGAATAAGCACAATGGGTTGGAACAAACCATGACATACGTAACGTCCATTGACTGGTGGACCTTCAGTGGATTAGTACTGGTAGTCAGCCCAAAAATCAATCGAAACGGGATCGATCTTTGAATCTTGAATGGACAATGCGGGCGGATCCGCGGTTGACCAATGGGATGTGGGGGATCCATGAAAGGATAAGGTTGGGTGTAGTGGCCAATCATATTGAAGAAATGGGGGGGTAGGGCAGGCAGGGCACCTGTTTTTACCGCTTTGCTTGCTTTAGGCTGGGTGTTCATTGTTGCTTGGTTGGGTTTCTTCAGCGGTTAGAAAGTGTTCACTTATTGTTATGTGTGCGTGGTAGGATTATTATCATGTCTACAGATGAATAATATTCCATTCTGTGAAAGTGCAAGTGAAATGGCTGCCTATTCATTTTATTTTATTTTTCTGTGTCTGTCGTGTTCTTCCGTATATTTGGTAGTACTTACTTACGTATTGCGCCACTTTCTTTCTTTTTCCATTTTTCCCATTTCTATTTTTCTTCCCGTTTTTATTTTTTGCCTCGTAGGTGACTAACCAACCAACCAAGTAAGCAACCGCGGAATTGAAGAACCTAATTCACACACACCACCTATTATACTCCGTAGTACAACAAAGTATCTACGGATCAAGAGAGAGCGTGTGTGCGTGGTAAGAACCGGCACATGGGAGGGTGAGAATCCCGCGAAGTTTAGTTGCCTCTTCTACCTACCTACATTCATCGTGTGGGATACTTTACACAGTAACTAATCCAGTTTAACTCCTCGTTGTATTTCTACATTAATAATCCTTCCTTTTTCCTAACCAGAAGAAAGAAACATGCACAGTACAATAGTGGGCTGTTTAGTTAACTAAAGAATTACCACAGCATGTGTCATCCTCAATATCCTTGTCGGGCACACACACCCCTCCTCCCCTCCCCTCTCAGCCGAGCGGGAGCAGCACAGCAGAAAAAGAAAGTCTAGAACACCACTAATTCATCGGTGAGAAAGAAAGACAGACAGGACAAAAGATGGGTGGGTCCCGGATCCAGCCCAATCGATGAATCTGTCTGAATCGGGGCTGGGAATAATGGGAATGCAAATGGAAGAGGCGCCCGCCGCCGCCGGCCGGCCGCCCATTCAGTTGCGATTCGGGCCCCACTTTTGGATGGAGTCTTCAAGGGGATCCACTGTGGCTGATTTTTGCCTGTCCACGGAGTAGTTACGTAGGTGCTGTGTTCCTCCACAAGGATTTTGGGAAGTAGGTGGGAGGGGGAGGGGTTACTTTGTGAGTCACTTGAGTTTTTGCCTGGGGGGAAGATGTACTGTATGTAGAGTAGGTGAATTCGGAAGTAAATAGTAGGTGTAAATAGTTCCTGCATTAAGCTATTAAACTATTGTTTTTCTTGTTCATCTGTAGGTTTGTTCTGGAATTGGGGTATTTGATCTGTCAGATCGAGGGTATACATGTATAGTACGTAGGTTGTGGGTTGTCAGAACTTTGAATAGTGAATACTTTTTTGTGACTTTGGATAGGAGTGTTCGATGTGTTTGATTGTAGGGATGAGGGAGGGATTAGGGGGGTGTGACAGATTGTGTTGGTTGGTTGGTTGTATTCCTTCTGGAGGAGTAATATTGATCTTGTGAGTGCTAAGTCAATTAATTGAGGGGGACAGTTACACCGATTATACTTCTGACAGGTCAGACATTGAGTTCGATGTCAATTATTGATCAAGTACTTCGTATAGGTATTTCTGAGGTATACCACTTCTCCATAGGAGAAGAGAATAGTAGACGGAAGTAACTGGGAAAAAAAAGAGAGAAGGTATGAGAGAAGGTATTTTGTAAGATATTTTTTTTTCTTCTATCAAAAGCAAGTCTATAGGCGTAATTCATGTGATCTCAAATCACTACATACATAACCGCATAGCACAGCAAGCGAAATCCACCCAGAAGGTGTAGGTGTGATTCACGAAAGAGAGTGTTGTGTTTGTTCTGCTTTGTCTTGTGCGCAACTCATCCAGGAGGCAGATCAAGTCAATCTATACATGAGAACTTTCAAAACCAAAACCCATCCGACCCATGGTATATTCCAAAAAAGAAAAACTCCATTCCATCCATCTCTTTTCCAAATCCCAATTGATTGATTGATTTGGAGGGATTAGTTTAACCCAGAGTAAGAGTGAACTGAGTGTCAATGGGGCAGCCGTGGGTGGCCTCGTTGTCATCGGGCTGGTTGTAGGCCTCAGCGCACTCAGTGTCACCAGCCTCGCAGTTGACAGAAGGGCAGTTGTCACCCTCCTCGGAAGGAGTGACGGAGAAACCGTACTTGGTGAAAGCAGAGTCACTGCCGAGGTTGATGCAGGACATGTCCCAGTAGATGGTGTCACCATTCTTAGTGTACTCGAACTGGAGGACATCGGACTGGCTCTCAGTGGTGGACAGCTTGATGGAGATACCACCACCGTTGTCGTTGGATTGCCAGGACTCGGAGTAGCTACCACCGCCCGCAGAAAGGGTATGCATGTTACTGACTCTATCAGAAACAGACCACGCGTAGACGGTAGTGTTGCTCATGTTGTTGGAGATGGAGACGCCGCCGGAGCCAGAAGAGGTACCGTTGCGACGAACCATGTTGTTGCTGAAGGAGTGGGGAAGAGCCGTGGCAGCGGTGGCCAGAGCGGCAGTGAGGATGGTCTTGAAGAACATTTTGATGGTTGTAGTGGAAGAAAAGAGATTGACTCTGAAAAGATGAGATTTTTGTTTTGTTGTCAAAGATTGACAAGTTGTGATTGTTCAGAAGAACGAAGTAGTTGGGTAAAGTCCAAAAGAGAGAGGACTAAAAGGAATGCAGACTAGTCTGATCGACAGACTAATATCAGATGTATCAAAAAGAGAGAGAGAATGACAGGTCAGACAAAGCTGATCAAGAGAGTGTCAGTGGATTTGCTGATGGATAGAAGAGCAAAAGGTGCAGCGAGATGCATCCTTATATAGCTTTTTGCGGCGGCAAGGCATCCAACCGTCGGCGAAGAGATCGGCTAGTGGTCACCACTGCAATTGCTGCTGTTCCTGGCCGTTTCAACGAATCGCCGCCAGAGGCGCAGGGGTAAAAAGTTTGTTCGACTTTGGGGTCCACATGGCCACTGACGTGGATTGGATTGTCCCTGGCGAGCCATGAATGGATTTTTAATTTTTTTTAATTTTTATTTTTTTTCTTTTTGCCTTTTCACTGATTTCCAAGTTGTGCTGGAAGTTGGGCGCAGGTGGAGAACAAGTTCCTGGAGACGCCACGAGACGGAATCCACTGCCATCTGCCATACGCAGATTTCCATTCCACTACACCGTAGGTAGTTAGTTGATGGAGTATTGTGGAAGTGGTGGTGTGGGTGCTGACAGCGTCTGCAGTGGGTGTGTACACTCTACAGTACTACGAAGATACACTCATCACCACCCACTACGTAGTACTTACTACCTTGTCCCTTGTCCACTTAGTATATTCACCCATCTAGACCTCGATCCATCCACTAGATACATAATAGATACTTGTCTAGAATCTCTCTCATTTCTTTCAAATTCCATGCCAATCCCATCCCAATATTAACAATGAAATCTTAGCCATAGTACGGAGTCAAGTAACTAAATTCATATTGATCCCAAAAATAGGCACTCAATAATACTCCCTTTTCCCCCTAACCACACCAGCATGGCAGCTACCTACCTACCTACCGACCCAACTCCCTTCTTTCATCCATCCTTCCACACTCCACAACCCCAAGTTCGCCTTTCCCTGGGCCCAAAAAAGTCAAAGTAGTGTACCAACTCTCGGAGGCCGTGGAAATACACAGCACTCCTATCCCGACGCGTGGTAATAACACTCATTACTAAGAAACTAGTATGTGCCCACAAGCCCTGCACCGTTCCAGACCCTCTCTCTCGGAACCAGTCAGTCAGTCAAGTCAATTCTGACTGATTTGACTGGTGTGGATCAAAGAACTTCCACTCATTCCCCAGTCCAATGGCAATGGCAATAATGGGGGCGAATAGAAAAAGAACGCACTGTCTTCTTCCACCCAATCCACGGATCGGAATTCTTCGCTTGCTCGTTCTGTCCTGCCTTGCCTGTTCTATTTCGCTCGCTGCTCGTCCGAGAAAAAACTGAGTAATCAATCCATTATTTTATCCGTGTGGTGTCGATTCCACCAACGACAACGCCTACGCAATCTCAGTCAACTAACATGGTGGAGATGAACCACACATACTTACACACTGTTCATCGGACGAGAAGTGCTGTGCTTAGGCCACCACCACTCACCCACTAACTCCTAACTAATTCTAGTCTCCGAACCTAGTCCGACCTTATTCTACTTTTTCCCGATTTTCTTCCTTTTTTCCTTGTAGAGAAAAGTCTTCGATTTGGGTGGATGGAAAGTCTAGAACGTTGTGCCATCTAGATTTTGTGGTCTTCGCTTTCTTTCTTTCCCTTCCCCTCCTGCTAAGAATCTTTACCCCCTCATTGCCCCCCTCTTCTTGGATTTCTCGTGTGCCTATCCTTTCTGGGAAGGTGTTGCCTCTTTACTGTACGTCTTTTTTCTCTTTACATGGTGTGATTGTGGTGGCACAGACACTTGCGCATACACCATACTGCTATTACGCCATACCTGCCTTTTTTCTATTTACTGCCTACGGGCTACTGCTACTGCTACTGCTGCTTCCTGGGCATTGTCTGATCGTGAGAAAGAAAAAGACCCTGAAAAGGATCCCAAGAATCCAAACTGTACGGAACTGAACCCTTTCTGTCAACGCGCTTCTCAACCGTGGTATATTGCAAGTCACTGCCGCTTCTGGAACACATCCCCCTCTCTTCCAAATTCTTTCTCTTGAACCAAAATATGTGTAGAAATGTTTCCTGTACCCTGTATTCAAACCCCCCTTCTATCCTACCAATATGGCGCTCGGAGACCCGCTAAACTCGTCAATCCCCCCTCCCCCGCTGTATCCTCGCGTTTGCGATGCCCCGCCAGCTCTAGGTTGATTTGCCGGTGAATGTGTACCAGCCAGTCTACCGAGCTCTGCGCCTCGTTGTTGCGGTCCTCTACCAGCATCCGCGCAAACTCGTACTCCGCCCCGTCTAGACCCTGCCGCGCCAGCTGGATCGTCACGGCCTTGGATCCCCGGATCGTTGAGAAGTACTGCAGTAAATTGCGCACCTGCGCGTTCAAATGCGTCTCCAGCACTGGGATCGTCGAGGTCTGTGGACTCAACCCCTGCAGCGACGTCTGGCCCTCGCCAAACAGGTCCTCCAGGAGGTTGGGCGACACATGTGAGTGCAGCCACAACAGGCACTGCTGCCCGTTGTCCACCAGGTACGCCCCGCCTTCCTCAATTTTGGAGAAGCTGGCCCGCAGCGAGGGGGGCACTTGCAGTTGTCCCTGTTCGTTAGGGAATCCGTCGGTCGGCTGCATGTTGTGGATCGGAATAATGCGGGGGTACAGGTACAGTGACAGCTCCGTGCACCCGATGGACCGCAGCATCCGCATGTCGTGGATGCGTCGGTCCGACGCCTCTTGTCCGCCTGCATGCTGTCAGACACCCGTGTTTCTCCGATTGACGGTGAGCGAAAAGGGAATTGAGCGGTCTTACCTTTGATAGCCCGCGACTTGATCAGGCTGAGCATGTACATCGAGAACTCTTTCAGGTTCTCTGGCAACACCAATTGTCCGGGAGGGTGAGATCCGGAGAAGATCTTGCGGTATCCGCTGAAGATGTCCACCGTCTTCTCGGACACGCTAGCCCGGATGTCCTTGAGGGACTTGTCTAGGGTCTTGGAGGCCGCTGTAGTTCTCATTAGCATTTGTCATTCCTGCCGACAGAGCAAACATACCATCCTTGGCCACCATAGCGACCACTGCGTCTTGATCCACAAACTTCATCGTCTCCATGCCACCCTCATTCACTGCAGCCACGGTGTTGATGCACCGCACCCGACGCTGGCCATTAGCCGAAGTATACAGCAAGGCTGCCTGGAAGTGGGCATCCAGCTTCGGGTCGAGCTTTCCATCGTAGCTGAACACCACTCCGATAGCCTTGTCGGCGTCGATGGCTCCGATCTCGAGGTCGGCTCCCAACGTGTGCTGGACAAAGTTGCCATGATAGCCTGACACCTGCAGTCCATTCGAACAACGGACCTTCATCAGGGCCTGGTAGCCCGTCTCTCGCGTGATCGCATGCGCCAATTCCTTCGAAAGCTTGCGAATATCGCGAGGTGCGTGGAAGTTCGGGTAGAAAAAGGTCTCACCGCCGGTTACCTCAGGGACGTGGCCTGCCAACGTTAGCGTAGTCAGGCAGGGGTAGCACGTGTCAACTCACCAATCGTAGCAACGTCCATGTATGTTCCGCTCGGTGCTGCGATAAACATGTCCAGTCCGATTCCAGCTTCGGCCAGATGCCCGGCCGTCTCACGCCATCCTGCATGCTCGGTCGTGAACAGCTTCCTCTCCGCATCGGTGCCATGGACCTTGGGGTCGTCCCGTAGGGACAGCGCACCAGGACCCCAAGTCGGCAGGCTAGCGATCGTGCCCACGATCTTACCGCCAGTCGGTCTCAAGGCAGACAATGCCGCGTTGAGGGCGGGCAGCAAGGCTGGCTGTGGGTTCTTGACATGAGAGAAGATGGTCGGGATGCGCTGCAGCAGAGAGGTGATGACGTCCCTAGATTTGTTAGTTGCATAGTTCAACCATGATCGTGTAAGAGACGCACTTGGATTCGTAGGGGTCAACAAACAGTCCTTCACTGAGAGGGACGAACGGCTCCTCCAAATCGGTCATCACCATCATCTGTGCCTGGTCGAGTTGTGCCTGGAACTGTAAGCTTAGTAGCGACAGGGGGAGATTCGAGAACCTACACTAAGGTTGTAGAAGTGCACCTCCTTGTCATAAGTGACAATGCCAACCTTGGCGCCTTCAGGTATCCGCCTTGAGGGGGCCTCATCCTCGGGATTTTCCGTCTCCTCGCTGTACAACGCTTCCATGATACCCTTGCACACGCCCTTCAGGAATCCCTTGTTCACCGATTCTTGGCTGACATCAATCAAGAACAGCCACTGAAGTCCAACAGGCTCCTTATTCCAGTAATCCTTCGGCACCAAGAACTCCACGGTTCCCATCATCAGCTCCGGACGCTGCATGCGGTCGATGCGCGAGCCGGACGGGTCCAGCGGGGCAAAGTATTCTGGTGGCACATCGTTGGGGAATGTGCACATGTTACAAACAAACTTGTTTCCGCCGGAGCGGAACGACATGAAGGGATTGATATACGCTCTGCACCGGCGGCACCGCGGCGGCCCGGCGTCGCCAAAGTCCAGCACCGGGATCGGCTGCTCGCCGTCTAGGCGCGCCAACGGCTGCAATACCATGCCCAGAGGAAGGCCCGTCGAGGAGAGGAAGTCGGAGGTGGATGGGATGTTGTTCAAGGTGAGACGGGCGTACTTGGGGGACGAATTGCCCTGATCGTGGGCAACGAACGGAACCGCCGCCGGAGGAGGAAGATGCCGCTCCATCGTCGGGTACACATGATTGAAGTAGTACTGTGCAGGTATATCGCGAGACCGGGGAATGCTGGGAATCTGCTCCGGATCGACCTTCCCTTGTGTCGGAACTGCACCGGCACCACCTCCGAATGCTGGGTTCACGGGGGCGGGGATGCTCGCGGCGGGCGAGATGGGACGAGGTGCTTGGTTCAAGCCGGTGTTGAGGAACTGCGAGGTTGGCTGCATGGGGTCCTGGGGAGCAGCTGCGAAGGGTTGCGCGACGGATGCCGAAGCACCAGCAATCTCATGGTGCGCATGCCGATGCTTCTTCTTGCTTGACCGGGCCGCTCCTCCTTCACCTCCCATTATTCCCAAACCACTCATCTGGGACGCTAGCCCAGCCATTCCGGGGTCCACAGGGGCACCCCCCGCAGCTTGCGGATCGGCTTGGTATGCGAATTGTGACGGTGGTTGTTGCAGAGGCTGCTGTGCTGGCGGGGGAGAGCCATAGGCGGGCCATTGTTGATTAGGGGCAGGGACTCCGTACGCAGCACCGGGCTGGGGAGGCGAAGGGCCGGGAGGAACTCCAGCGGCAGGATAGCCTTGCGGAGGCACCTGATATGCCATTTGATTGGGATCGGAGGGGTTTTCACCAGGCACCGGAGCCTGGCCGTAGGTATGATACATGTTGGGGTCGGCCATAGTGCTTCATAACGCGGGGGAAGCAAATCAACGAATGTGAACGAGGGGACAGAGGGATCGATCACCGGCGAAGAGAAACCCTGTCAGCCACGGACCATCACCGAATGCTGCAAGACGACAGCCGGGAAGGATTTGCACCAAGAAAAGGGGAAGTATAGCAATTAATCGCAACTGACCACCTAAACACTTCCTCGTCGGAGGAGAACCCGTGGCCTTGGCCGCTTCCCCCTCTCGGCCTAGCGCCTGCTTATTCAGCGGCCACATCTATGGCACTGTTGGTCTATGTGGATGCCCGGACTCAGGTACAGCCAACTATAAAAATCACGACTGATTCCTAAACCATAAAGAATATTATGCTTTTTTGGTGTCTATGGTGTCTATGGTATCTACGGGTTTTGAATAGTGCACTTGGGTGGGTGGGAAGATTCCATATGAAAAGGCCCATGCGAACGACTGGAATTACTCCGCAGTGCGCGATGTATTCATCTGCCCAACTCTTATTGATGGCTCAGTGGTTGGGCTCCTGGTCACAGCATAGCCTCGTAAACTTCCGGGGTTGCTTTTTCACTGTTGAAATATCTGGACAGTGGCCCTCGGATGCCAGTGTCTTTTTGAAAATGTTTTAGTTGATCCAAATCAGACATTCATATCGTGTCGTGATAGAGTTATCACAGATCTCTTCGTGTATTCTCTGAAGAATGAAGTTATGCGATGCCTGCCAGAGCATCGACATCCGAGATCTCTTGCAATCTTACCATGATACCCGTGAGCTTTATCTAACAAGGGACCCTTGGACTGGCTGGTCCTACAATATTCTCAAATCCAAGGGGTTTCAGGCCCACCACGCGAATATCACCGCTCTTCATGATGCTGTGAGGATTGGCTGTGAATTTTGCAGGATGCTTTGGGCACATCATTGTCACTTCTGGTCCCAAAAGAGTGACATAAAATACTGCGTTGACACTGAGACGCATGAGTCGGACGATTGTGCATGTAAGCGATGTCGAGGGCCGCTGCTCTTTTCTATCCATCAGGGAATCGGTCGTCATCATCACTGCCTTCGGTTGGTAGTCCTAGTCATGCCAGATGATAAGGGGAAGCGGGACCCGAATATCTGCAACGATGTCGGAGTAATCGCAAAGTTGAATATATGCACTGCTAAGGGTAGGTACACAGAGGCTGGAAGGCTCAGAGAGTACGCTAATGCCGAAAAGGCGCAGAGATACCAGAGCGAGACGCACATCTCCTTGAAGATGTTGGTCGTGATGAATTGCCTTTTGATCTACGCTCTGAAAGATGTCTTTCTCTGGCAGTCAGTTGGCTAGATAAATGCTGCCGGAAGCATGTAAAATGCGATGGACACGAAGACGGAGCGCATTTTCTTCCCACACGAGTCATTGACGTAGGGGACTCGCTCATACAACCACATTTACACGTCAGTGCAGACGGTGAAACCGGGAAATGGGCGGCACTGAGCTATTGCTGGGGCGGAGACTCGAATTTCATTCTCAGCGCCTCGTCTGTTGACAATCTCCGCAGCGGACGATCCCTGGCGACCTTTCCAGCCACTCTACGGGACGCTGTCCTGGTGACAAGAGCACTGGGACTACGATACTTATGGATCGACTCTCTCTGTATTTTTCAAGATGACAGTAACGACTGGGCGGTCGAAGCTTCAAGAATGAGCCGCATATACAGACATGCGGCTGTCACCATCGCCGCTACCAGCGCAGAAACTGCGGACGACGGATTTCTAGACAAAAGGGCACCGTACTTTAGCTGCCCTTTCCCTTGGCGTCGAGGGTCCCACAAAAGTAGCGTCAATGATGTTTCGCGCGCGTATCCTGTTGTCCTTCGGGGTTACACGGATATGGTTGACAAGGAGCCGGCACGGCATTCGCGCTGGGCCACCAGAGGCTGGACATTCCAAGAGGAATTACTGTCGAAAAGAGTATTGTATTACACTAAAGAAGAGATGATTTGGAAATGCCGCACTGGGACGGTTAGGGAGCCAGAAAAGAAACCCACTACTGCCTCTTTCATAGAGACTTCAGGGTCACTACCGGTTCCTCTGCCTAAGCCAGATAAAGTATGCAACGCATACTTCATGCCAGATCCCTATCTGAATTGGTACCTGCTGCTGGAAAATTATGTATCACGGGATCTCAAATTCGAAAGAGATCGCTTGCCGGCGATCGAAGCATTGGCCGAGTTCTTCCATGCACCGCTAGGAGAACAGTACTGCGCGGGATTATGGAGGGGGGACCTCTTATTTGGGCTATTATGGAGCACACACCGTAATGGGCACTACCCAGGGCCGCTTGCTAGCACCGCTAAATGCTCTGAGGTTCGGAATCTTAGTTATGAATACGAACATAATAGAAAAAGATATGCTCCGGTGGGTGTCTATTCAAAGCAACGCAAGCCGTCCTGGAGCTGGATTGGGACAGACACTTATGTCGGTTTGAAGTGGCCCCAGTTGAGATGGTTGCGCAAATACAAATATCTAGCAAAGATTGTCGATTACAAGGCCCACGGCCAGCTTCATGGCGTCTTCGGCCATATAAAGGGCGCGGAACTAACCCTGGAAGCGCCGTATCGGCACCTCCATTTGAGACTCGATAGCTATTCCAAGTCCCGATGGAACCTCACGCGGGTTGTACAAAGGGCCCTTATACGACCTGATCCGTTGGCAAGCATGAGGGAGCTGGCGCAGGTCGCTCTTGCGAGACCTGGCTACCTCGCAGAAACGGAAACGAGCGGCTCTGTTATCGTTCCGAGCAGCAGCACGGACTTCACTTTAATCCAAGTTGCAGAAGTGACCAATTTTGATCCACCAGTGCTCTATCTCCTCATTCTACAGCCACAGACGAGAAGTGCAGCCAGCAGCAGTGGAACGCATCGTTATCGTAGAGTTGGGTTGCTGCGGCTCAGGCCTTATCAAGGCCACCCCAGGCACAGCATCAGGGAGGCTGTGACAGCACGTCTGGAGCGTGAGGCCTATAATGAAGTTACCTCAGAGGAGTGGCCAGTCGGAACCTTCGTGATTGACTAGTAGTAAGGGAGGTGGAATGTAGCGGATCAGGACGTCTTATGAACAAGCTCTCATCTTTGGTTTTGACCGGACTGTTTTTTTTTTGGCCCGCTTTTTTTTTTTTTTTTTAATCTTCTTGGAATGAAGCGCATCAACAAATGTGGGATTCGCGCGGTAGATTACTGCATGCGATGAGTATACAAGCTGCCATTCAAATATATAATCACTCTTCGTCACTGTCACTTTTACGAGGGCTAACAGATCCTACCTTGCATGCGCAGCTTAGAGCATACTCTGCGACTTCGCTCATATCGCTAAAGCCAGTAGTTCCACTAATCCAGTACTGGTAAATGAAAAGCTCATCGTTGTCTCTCATAAATGGTTAGCAAGGGCGCACTGGTATATTGACATCTATCTAGTATAGTTGACGTGAACTTAGGGGTGACTGCCTGGGGGCACAAACCCGTGCGCAGTCCGTTACACGAGAATGTAAGAAGCAATCTAAAACGAGATGTCATGGATCAAAATGAATCGAGAGTTATGCGAAGATGTCCTCGAAGTATAAGTGTAGGAGGTGTAGGGATGCCCTTGCTGGGATTTATCAGTTCGGCCCTGATAAGAATGCATCTCATGCATCTACCCTTCCCCCAGCCACTTCTGTCGAAATTCGAATTCCTTCTTCCCATGATGGGATTCTATCCGATTTTCTGACCTTTCCAAATGTTGAAAACCTACCGGCTTTCTCAATCTGTTGTCTATCATTAGTAATCCTTCAAATTCATCGCCGTTGCTCGCAGTGATCCTCGCGGGGTTCTCACCGACTCTTGATCGGCAACTGAGCGGGTTAAGTTCCGCATCGACTGATCCCGACGATCACTGGTCGGAATCTACAGAACTACGTACCCTGAATACATTCGAACCCACCCACTCGCCCTTGTTGCTTCATTTATTTCTAGGTAAAACTATATCCACACTCTCAGTGCGATGGCTACCATCCACGACAATGACGAGCTTCTTTTAGCCCGCATTGGCTACAAACAGGTATGGCCCAAGCGCTTGTATCCACCATCTGGTGCCTGACAGTCCAGGAATTGAAACGCGAATTCTCAAAATGGTCCACCGTCTCTTATGCCATCTCCATCCTAGGCATACTAGGCTCAGTACCCGCCACTTTCGGCGCTCCCCTGGCCGCAGGAGGCCCAGCAACTGCAGTATGGTGTTGGTTCGTGGGCTCTTGCATGGCCTTGTGTATCGGCAGCTCGGTGGCAGAGCTGGTCTCTGCGTATCCTACTGCTGGGGGCATGTACTTCGTCACCAAGCATGTAGTTCCAGATGAACATGTGCCTATCTTCTCCTGGGTACAGGGGTGGTGTAACCTCCTCGGCCAGACGGCGGGAGTGTCCAGTGTCGCCTATACTGTCAGCCAGATGTTACTTGCTTGCGCGAGTATGAATTCGGAGCTGGTGGATGGGGAGTATTCATACTCACCGTAGGTCATCGCCCGTAGTCTGCCGACTATCTTAGCTAACGGGACAGTTCTGCATTGGATACGGTGCTCTTGTCTGTGATATTGCTCTGCCTACTGGGTGTGATCTGCTCAATGACCACCAAATCTCTGCACCAGATCTTCCTTTGGTTTGCCCCAATAAATAGTATGTCATCCTCTCGAGTAATTAGAACACAGCCTGACCAACCAGTTGCCGCGACCTTCTGTATCTGCTTCTCCCTGTTATGGTTCACCCCCCAGAAGCAACCAGCTACCTGGGTGTTTACTCACTTCACAGATGGATCCGGATGGGGATCAAAGGTATTCTCATTCCTACTAGGCTTCATCTCAGTTGCATGGACAATGACCGACTACGACGGAACCACACAGTACGTCTACCTTACATCTATGCCGATACCCAGACCTCCCTAACATAGTCCCAGCATGTCCGAAGAAACCCACAACGCAGCAGACCTTGGCCCCCTAGCCATCCAATGGGCCGTGATAGTATCCGGCATACTCGGCTGGATTTTGACTATATCAATGTGCTTCTGCCTCACCGACTACGAAGGCATCCTCAACACCCCCACCGGCCTCCCAGCAGCCCAGATCTTCCTTAATGCCGGAGGCAAGCTAGGCGGCTCAGCGATGTGGGGACTAGCAATCCTCGTACAGTTCTTCACCGGCTGTTCCGCCATGCTAGCAGACACTCGAATGGCCTACGCATTTGCTCGTGACGAAGCCCTACCCTTTTCTTCGTATGCTCCCTACCACCCCTCATCCGACGAGCAAGCCCAACTAACAGCACAAACCACCCAGCTTCCTCTCCCAAATAAACCCATACACCCAAACCCCCGTCAATGCCGTCTGGTTCGTCGTCTTCTTCAGCATCTGCCTGAACTGCATTGCCATCGGCTCGACCCACACCGCCACCGCGATCTTCAGCATCACCGCGCCAGCATTAGACCTCTCCTACGTGTCTGTAATATTGGCACACCAGATATACAGAAAACAGGTCAAGTTCATCGAGGGACCGTTTACGTTGGGGCGATGGGGACCGTACATCAACTGGGTATCGGTAATATGGGTGATGTTTATCAGCTCGGTGCTGTTCTTTCCGCCGACGGTGCCGGTGACGGTGTCGAATATGTGCGTTTATATCCGTTAATGAAATCTCCAGATGGGACTGACTGATGGGTAGGAACTACGGTATCTGCGTCGGTATTTTCATCGCTGCGTTTGCGCTGGTTTGGTGGTGGGTTGCTGCGAGGGGGTGAGTTATCTTCTATTTCTTCATGAATTATGAGAAAAGAAGAGAGTGGTTACTGACTAGATAAACAGGAGATACACTGGCCCTCGAACAACGGAGCATATGCAACCTATTCCGGCTGAGGAAGCAGGTCTTGACTATGGGACTATGCAGTGATAGATGGACACTATCTCTCCTGTTCCACACACTGAAAACTCCAAACGTAACCATCCATTCTGGAACAGACTCCAGCAGCTGAATGGTACCTTACCCCTGAGAACAGATATAGATCGAATAGAATAGACTTAGCTTAGCTCCTTGCAATTCTCTATGCGCATTAACATAAACCAGTCCGTGGTTATTACCTACCTTCGTAGATCAGATGAATATTCTTCCAGTCAAGAAACCCGTCTCCACCTCTATATTTCCAGTCTACATACATCATAAAATCATCGACGATCACGATCGCCATCCATGCCACACACACCCTCTCTCTTCCTCTCGGCTTTCAGCTCCGCTCCTTACTAGTACCCAAAAACAAATCTACCTCAGTAGATCAGCCAAGGTATGTTGATCTACCTACTAAGCACTAAGCCTACCCTACCCATCCATTCGTTCTCACACACCCCTCGATCCAGTAGTATTCACTAAAGAATGGACATAGTACTAGCAATGATTCATGCCCAACCAACCCCAACCCGAATTCACTAGTTAGTACCAATACGCCAAATCCCGAGAGGGGAAAGAGATTAGCGGGAGCTTATCTACAACCATACACACACACATGAACTGCAGAATGCAGGGGGAAGGGAGGGAAGGAAAAAGAAAATAAGACGGATGATGATAAGAAGGGGAAAAAAAAAGAACTAAGTTAAAAGCAAACATATTCAGGAACAGGTATGTGTCAGTGGAAGTTAATTTGGACCTACTACTGTATGGTTGCCTTGAGTAGCTAGTATTCAGCTGGGTGCATTGGGAGGTTGGTAGTTGACTAGTGGATATTTTGCTGTAGCTATTGCTAGGGATGATGAAAGTTGATGTGTAATCTGGTACACTGTTGAATTTGGTATAAGGATTGATAAAGGGTAATAATCTTAAGTATCTGTATATACAATGCAGTAATCTTATACATGTATCACAAGAATGAAAAAGAAGAAATATCATCACGACTCATCAGACGCATACTCCGTCATATATATAAATACATCTCAAAACCATTCCCACCGGCCAGTGTCCCTTTTGGTATGTTGGTATACGGAACTGTGCCCCTATCCATGCCCGCTGACGCCATGTCCGTCCGTCTCGCTTTGGGAGCTGATCCCCTTGGGTCCTGTTGCCCATTCGCCATTCGGTAGACCAGAAAAAGAAAAGAATGGTAAAGAAGAAAGAAGACAAAAGGAAGAAAAAGAAAAAGAAGAAAGAAATACATACATCGAACAACGAAAAGATCGTCACCAGTAAGAATGACGGACCATGCAACCGGACCGAACCGAAAAGAAGAAAATATGCAAAATGCAAATCGAAGCGGCCAATAGCCTAGGTAATCAAAAAATCCATATTCATGTCGCTGATGATCTTCTCCCAGTCCCAACTTTCTTCCATTTTGGTGTCCATCACTTCCCACACTCGCTCCACCACCTTGAAGGCGGGCTCGATGTTGCGGAGATTGGAGTAGCCCTTCAGGGTCTCAAAGCCCTTCTTGATCCTCTCCCGCTGGCGGGGCACGAAGGCAGAACAGCCCAGGAGGAACAGTGGCATCAGAACAATACTGTAGGCGCCTGCATCCTGAGGTAGCTGGTCCAGAAAAGAAAGTCCGTCGTCCACAACCTGTGCAATTTTCTCGCTTGGTCGGGACGGGCGGATGGTGCGGTACAGGTAGACCCAGGTGGACTGGCGATATAGTTGCGCCAGGTAGTAATTTGGCGTGTTGGGCGTATACGAGGTTTCCCAAGCCCGGATGGCGGAGTCGATGGAGACGGCGTCACCCAGAATCTGGTAGTCAACCGCAGGCTCGTAGCCTTCATTGGACCGCTGTCGAATCCGGTCTCGAATCCGAGTTACCTCGGAGATATAATTGAACAGACCATCAAACACTCCAAGGAACATCCCTGCCTGCGCGTGTGGCACAAAGTCAGGCAGCCGTAAGCCGCCCTGCAGATGGGCGGGGCGGCGATCCAGAGAAGTGATGGAGTTGGAGACATCATGGTACTGGAAGAACTCGACAATAAACTGCCGGAACTTCTCATTCCTCGGCTGCTGCGTCGACAGCAAGTACCGGGCCGCATCCATGTGGGGTCGGTATTCTCCTTTGGTATCTCCTTCACAGATGGTGTTCAAGCTGAGAGCTATCGTGGATGCGATTATGGGATCTTCGATAAGAAGCTCAGGGTCCTGCTCAGCAGTACCCGAAGACGCTGTGATATTATCCTTGAGATCCCTGATAGCACGGTGGTAGTGATAGAACTTTCGCTCCTCCAACATCGGATCATGATGGAGACCCGACAGGTGCGATCCCGAGAGGCACATGAGCGAGTGCATCAAACCTCGGTGCTGGGTGGCCATAGGGAGCAAGATCTCCTTGAACGGGTTGGAGTCATCGTTGATCAGGGTCAAGACGCGACTAAAGCCATAGACGAAATGGTCGAGGAAGCGTCGGTCAATCTCGGTTTCGATGCCGTCGATAAGCAGCGGTAGAGAGCGGGCAACCATGTTCTGGGTGCGAACTGCTGTGGAACCAAGGAGTCAGAACGTTCACACAAGTGTCAAGGTGATTGGATCAAAGGTGCCGGATAAGCAACCAGGAGTAGTAAATACGCACAGCAAAGCAGCTCGAGCATGCCACGGTCCAAGGTGCACTTACCATCCTCAAGCTTCTGCTTACCACTCTTCCATATTTCTTTTGGCGGGTAGCCCTCGCATACTACGGCATTCTTTTGACAGTTGAGACACCTGCAGGAAGGGAAAGAAAGTTAACCACTGCGACCGTTGCGACACAGGATGGACCAGTCAAAGGAGGACGGGAGCTTTACGCTGGCTTGGTTTCGTCGCATTTCTTCTTCCGCCGACGACAGGTAATACAACCCGTCTTGGATCGACCCTTGGTGATTTTGATCTGATTCCCGGGCACTGGCAGCGGATGTTTGCGCGGTCGTCCACGTTTCCGTGGGACGTTGACGGGAGCAGCCGTGGAATCCGGATGGGTAGAACTCGCATGGGCCATCGATGTCTCCACTCCCACCGGTTTTATGCTTTGCAACTCGTCCACATCATCTATCTCCTCGATCTTGGGCGTGACCTCGTCCATGGACGCCTCCATGCCGTGGGATGCGATCACGTTGAATCGGAAGGTTTTCGGCGAGGTGTCTGCGGTCGTCGGAAATGGATGGTGTAAGCCGTCTTGAATTTTGACGTCGACCTCGGCAGAGGGAGAATTATCGGAAGGGGCGTCGCCATCCCACGAGGCGGGCGAATCGTTAGATATGCCGTCGGTGGTGCTGATGCTGTTTCGGTGCGAGAGTGACGAGTCGTCTACTAATGGGCAGTCGCCGAGGGCGGGGACGTCCGTCAACATGACCGAGCGGGTGGAGTCGCGACGCTCAGCTGCCGGGTTGGCCGATGGCATGGCGTGAGGGAGACCGGTGACATTATTGTAGGTAGCGGATGGAGGGAGCACATAGGAGTGAGATTTCTGCATGGACAACATTGGCCCATACACACCTCAAGTTGAGGTGCGCTATGATTGCGAAGTAGACAGAGGAGGGCGATGAAGAGGGGGTGGGAGGATGAGGTGGAAAGGAAGGTGAGCAAAACGGGAAGCGAAATGAGTTGGTTGGTTGGTAGGTTGGGGGAGTTTGAACCAGCGCGAGGAAGAGGGGTAGACGGGCGACAATGCTTCGGCAATATGGGAGGGGGAAGAAGGTGGTTTAAGAAGGAGGTTGTTGGGGGAGGTCTTGTTTAAGGAGGGGAAGGTGAAGAAGTGAGTTGAGGATAATAGAATCTCCCTATAGAGTAATTATGATTGGAGTGGGGAGCAGTTCAAGACTTGGCTGTGATTTAGTGGAAGCACGGATTGGACCCGAGGGAGATTAGTCGGTAGTTAAGCAGGAGGATTTCGTGGTGTGAGTGGATGGGGAATAGGCAGGTTTCAATCAGTCAATCAGTTAGCTGTTAGTGTAAGAATAGTTGTAATAGTAGTGGTAGTAAGAAGTGGTAGGAGTAGTAGTGGATCGTCCGTGGGCAGTGATTGAAGAGTGGGAGTGCACTAGAGGCAGAAATCTTTCCTCTTGAAACGAGGCTGAATTCGAAGATCCGGGAGAAGGAAAGGATGGGGAAGCGAGTTAATATAAGGAATAGTATGGTATTTTTACTGGCAAGAGGATGTAGAACCAAAGAAATAATTTTGGGTTTTTTTTGTCTTTCTTATTATTCAATAGGATTCCGAACAGTAGTCATAGGAATGAATAATGTTCCTGACAATCCGTATTGTATGGACGGGTATGGCGATGGGGATGGGGATGGGGCAAGGTATTAACAGTAATTCTCTGTGAATGGATGGTTTGGAGGGGGATGGATGGCAAGACGGAAAGGTAACCAACCCAAGTGGGCAAGTCGAGAGAGGGTAGTAACAGTAATAATAGTAGGAGGAGAAAGTTAGTAGAATTTTTAGTAGTACTTCTGGGCTGCACCCGGAGTATTATGAGAATTATAATTATAATTATAATTCTTCGTCTTTTTGTGGTTAATTCATGATTTTACTTGCTACAAACTTGTTTCTTAGTACTATAGTTCTGATGGTTGAGCTATGGACTGACTGACTGACGCCTCTAGAGCCCGTCAGACTACTAATACTACTACTACCGACATAAGTACAGTAGCTACCGTGCGCAACAACATTAATGAAGGCACAAAAAAGTAAAAAATAATCTATTATAATTTCCTGAAAAATCCGAGGAACAATTCCCTTGGGAGGAACATTCTCGTGATGTATGCTGATGGGGACTTTCCCAACATTAGGATTATCATTAGTATCCTCCTGCTCATCTCTGGTTCATTCTCTTCTCCTCATCGGTCGGGGAGTGATTGGAGGCATGGAAGTGGACCCCATCAAGAGGGCATCCAAACTAGGCAAACTTTGTGATCAATGCTTCCTGTCTGGGGAGAATCGCAATAATTAACCGTGACAATGACAACAATGCGCGCCAGAGCCAAGCCCACTTTTCGGAGATTCCGCAGCGTGCCAGACAAGCCAACTATACCGGCAGTTCGACCATTACTACTTTAAGTAATCTAGGGCGTTTTGTTTCTATTGATTTCTCTAACA